CCTCCCTCCGTCCCTCCGACCTGTGCGCTGCCCGCCCCTTATGCCGCGTTGCGCTGCTGGCGCCCACGGGCACCTCTCCCTTCACCAGCCTGTTGGCATCCCGGCGCTCCAAGACGGCCCGAGAGGTTCCCCAGGCCGCCCCGCGATGGCCGAAGAGGCCTCCCACAGGGCCCCAAGACGGCCCACGAGGCCCCAAGACGGTGCCCGAGGCGCCCAAGACGGCCCGAGAGGGCCCCCAGACGGTCCCAGGAGAGGCCCAAGAATGGGAACGCGAACCCGACAGCAGAGTCTTCCGCCCTAAGAGGCCCAGAGAAGGCCCCGAGAGTCCCAAGTGGTCCGACGAGGCCCCCATGAGCCTCCCAAGTGGCCTCAAAAAGCTCCAAGGAGACAGGTCAGGCGCGCTCCCCTACAGGCGGATTTTGGACGAACAATAAAACAATAGTCAACAAATCTTCAAAGATGCTCGAAACTACTAAAACAACTAGTCCCCCGACTATTTCTACTCTTGAGTATTCCTCCTGTAGAGGGACAGGCCCGACTTAACTCTGAGCCTCTGGGAGATGGTGGGGAGGGTGGTGGTCCTGCTCCGAGGATTGAGGAGGTAGAGGTGGAATAGAAGTTCCATTGCGAGCGCTCAGTGCTTCCTCTGCAACCTGCCTCGGACCGATCGCCTTGATGTCGCGGTGTATAGTCAAGCGCAGCGGCGCCCGAGACGAGCAGCGGCTGAATGTATCCCCGCTCCTCGGTCCGCTCCGCCTCCATTTTCCTGGCCGTGGTGGTGAGCCCGTGAAACACGTGGCCACCAATACAGACTTTGGAGTCGGCATCTCCCAGTTGATTTGCGTGTCTGTGAGGCCATTTCTGTCTGCCACCAGCCGTGGCACCCGAGGCGTAGCGGCGGAGGTATGGAGTCGGTGGATGGATGGAGGTTGGGGAAGGGGGAGTATATTGCATGTGCTGCGAGCGGTCGGTTGCTTCCTCTGCAACCAGCTGTGGACCGAGCGCCTTGACGTTGTGGTGCATGTTCCAGCGCAACGGCGCCAGAGATGAACATGTATGAGAGGCCGTTTTTTTTTCAGCCATCAGCATTGATTTCTGCAACGGACTGTGGACCGATCACCTTGATGTTGCAATGTATGCTATGATGGCCACCGGTAGCTATACTTAACAAGTCAATCGGCTGGGGCACTTCGAGTAGTGGTGGATGGTTGAGGATGCAGTCGTGCGAGTCGACCTCTGAGAGCGTGTTGACCGCCACAGCTATGCTCACCGAGTTTATGAGCAGCATCTGGATCAACAAAACAGTTTACAATACCTTCGACTGCATAAGGCCAGGCAGTACCGTCTGAGCCAACCTCCCGCGGCAGAAAACCGCGTGCTTCGCATTGCCACTTAGGCCAGCCAGGCGATTTGGCCAGCATGACACTGGGGAGGGTAGGCTTTCGATTGCAGAGGTGGGAGTAGCGCTGAGGGCTTTTTCAACAACTGCCGTACTATCCCTCAGGGAGGGTTGACCTGGGAGGGATTGGGGTAGATGTGCAGGAGAGGGGTCGCGAAGGAGATAGACTTCACCGCCAGGCTGGCGCATACTCTGTGCCCTTGCGGGCCCACGGTCTTCTTCCATCTCTTCACGCTTCTCTTTTTGCCGCTGCGCCAGCCAGTCGTGATTATGCTATTCCTTAAGGCCTCGCACTATGTTTTATAACGACGTTTCAAGCTCCAGTTCTCAATGTTTGATAAGCGTCAACAAAGAGGAGGAGAAGGAGGAGGAGGAGGAGGAGGAGGAGGATGAGGATGATGATGATGATGATGAGGAGGAGGAGTAAGGAGGAGAAGGATGAGGAGGAGGAGGAGGTGGAGGGGGAGGAGGAGCAGGAGGCGCCCGCGAGCCCAACACCGCATAAGATGCGCCGAACTCGCCTCCCCTTCCCCCCCTGCCCCTCATCCCTCCATCCCTCCCCCTCCTCCTCCATCCCTCTCCGTCCCCCTCCCCCTCCTCTTCCTCTTCCTCTTCCTACTCCTCCTCTCCTCCTCCTCCTCCTCCTCCTCCTCCTCCTCGCATCTCCTCCTCCTCCGCCTCCTCCTTCCTCCTCCTCTCCCCTCCTCACATCTCCCTCTTCCTCCTCGCAGCGCCTGCTCCCCCCTCCCCTCGCGGCCTTTTACTCCTGCTCCTTGCTCCTCTCCTCCTCCTCCTCCTCCTCCTCCTCCTCCTCTCCTCCTCCTTCCTCCTCCTGCTAGCTCCTCCTCCTCGATCTCCTGCTCCCCCTCCTCGCGGCCTTTTACCCTGCTCCTCCTGCCCCTCCTGCTCCTCTCCTCCTCCTGCTCGCTTCCTCCTGCTCTCCTGCTCCTCCTCCTCCTTCTCCTCCTTCTCCTCCTTCCCTTCCTTCCTCTTCCTCCTAACTTCATGCTCCTTGCCCTGCCTCTTACGAACGTTGCCGCGCCCCTTCCTCGCCTCTTCTCGCTCCCCCGTCCTCCCTCCGCCTCCCTCTCCCACTCTCCTCACTCCTCCCCGTCGCCCTTTTTTCTCTTCACTCCTCTTCCTCCTCTCCTCCCCTGCCCTCCTCCCTCCTCTCCGCTCCCCCCCCCCCTCTCCCCCCTGATGTGCCCCGCGGCGTCTCCTGGAAGAGCTCCAGGGGGCCCAGGCTGCGCCGCCGGGACGCCTCGGCGGCCTCGGCGGCCTCGATTGCCTCCAGCACGTCGTCGGTGCCGCGGTCCTCCCCTCCTCGTCCTCCTACTGCTCCTCCTCCTCCTCCTCCTCCTCCTCCTCCTCCTCCTCCTCATCTCCTCCTCCTCCTACTCCTTCTTTTCCCTCTCCCTCCGCCTCTCCTCCTGCCTCCCTCCCTCCCTCCTCCTGCTCCTCCTTCTCCACGCCCTCCCTCCCCCTCCGTGTCCTTTTCCTTGTGAGCTCCTCCCTGTCGCACCCCGGGGCCAGTCGGAAGGGCGGGCCAGGCGTTTAGCCAGAGACTTCCCTGCCATTCATGAACCTCAAGCTGAACAGCTGGCAACAGCTTCACAGAGGGAGGGCGGGCCGCTTCCACAATGCGGCTCTCGCCTTAGCGCCGCGCGCACTCATTTCAAGAATTCGCAAGAGCTTTGCGGATTGAGGGCGGATCGTTTTCAAACTGTGGCCCTCGCCTCAGCGCCGAGCGCACTATTTTAAACAAAATACACACCTTTAGCGGATTGTGGGCGGATCGTTTTCGAACTGTTGCTGTCGCCTTAGCGCCGCGAGCATTCGTTTAACACATTGCAGGACCTTCGCGGATAGAGGGCGGCTCCTTTTCAACATGCTGTTGTCCTCTAAGCGCCGCGCACATTCGTCTCAACTCATTGCAAACGAATAACGGATTGGGGGCGGATCGTTTTCAAACTTTGGCTCTTGCCCTAGCGCCGCGCACATCCGCTTCACAGATTGCACGAGTTTCACTGGTTCTCATGATTAACGGACCTGGTACGGCGTTTTGGAACGATTCAGGATTGTCAGGGCGCAACACTTACGTCGATTCGCGATTAGTCTCTGGAGCGGTGTATTGGCACGATTCAGAACTGTCAAGACGCAATAGTCAGGGTGACCCGTGGCGTTGAAGTCCTGAACATGGTGCTTTGGCGAGCTCCCGGATGTTCACACGGTTGTCTGCCAACGGGGCACTTCCCTCAGTGGAAATGAACCCTTGTAGGGGCCTGTGAAGAGGGAGCTTGGAGGGAGGGTGTATTCCAACATCGTTGATGAGTCGTGGGTTTGCACTGGTCCTCCCCCTCCCCCTCCTCCTCTCCTCTTTCTCTCTTCCTACTCACCGCTTCCTCCTCCTGCTCCTCCCTCCGACCCCCTCCTCTCTCTTCTCTCTCCTCCTCTATCCTTCTTGTTCTCCTTCTCCTCCTCGTTGCTCGCTCTCCTCCTCCTCCTCCTCCTCCTCCTAATCCTCCTTCTCCTCACCTACTTGCTCCTCCTCGTTACTTCTCCTGCTTCGCCTCCAACCCTTTCCCTTACAACAAGGAGCTCCTCGTCGCCCCAGGAGAAATGTCAGTGGAGCGCGCTGGGAATTTCGCCTGATACTTTTCACAACTTACGGCCTTGAAGCATGACGCGTCAGGCAGAAAAGTTGCACGGACGTAGAACAAATGGCCATATACTAAATTTGAAGCTTGCGCCTTGGCGCCGTGCGCATTCGTCTGAAACGCTTTCAGCAGCTGCAAGGATAATGGGTGGGGCGTCTTGCAAACATAGCTCTCCCCTTTACTCCGTGCGCAATCGCCCGAACAACTTCCAACACTTACAACGGTAGAGTGCGGCCCGTGTTCACAATGTGGATCCCGCCTTGGCGCCGCGACCATGCGTCTGAACAGTTGTAAACGGTCGTAAGGGTGTGAATGGCGGTTCCTTCGCAAACTGGGCCTCTCGTTTGAGATGCACTAGGTCATCACTTCCCAAAGCGTTGTCTTGTACACTAGCTACACGGGTTGACGGCGGTTCCTTTTCAAAACTTTGTTCTCGCTTTGGATGTCTGCAAGGTCGGTTGACATAAGCAAGCATGCAGCAGTCACACGGGCTGTACCATGCGTTTGCTCTGGTCCTTCTTCGTTTGCTCCGCCCCCTCCTCCCTCTTTTCCCTCGTTTCCTCCCTGCCTTCCCCTCTCTCTTCTCCTTCCTCGTTCCTCTCTGCTCCTCTCCCCTCCTCCTCCCTATCCTCCCTCTCCCCCTCCCTCGTCTTCTCTTCACTCTCTACTCATCCTCGCTTTGCCTCCCCCTTGTCGCCCTCGTGGTCGTCGTCGTTGTCCTCCTCCTCCTCCTCACCACCACCACTATCATCATCATTACCAGCATCAGCAGATTCAGCATCATCATCATCACCATCACCACCACCATCCTCATCCTCATCATCAGCACCATCATCATAGCCATCATCATTATCATCATCATCATCATCATCATCATCGTCATCGTCATCGCCATCGTCATCGTCATCGTCATCGTCATCATCCTCATCGTCGTCATCATCATCGGCATCATCATCATCATCATCAGCATCATCATCATCATCGTCATCGCCATCAGCATCATCACCAGCATCAGAAGCATCAGCATCCGCATCGACAACAACAACGTCATCATCACCATCATCTTTACCATCACCATTGTCACCATGACCGTCACCATCACCATCACCATAAGCGTCACCACCACCATCAACATCACCATCACTATCATCGTCACCCTCACCCTCACCATCATCATCATCAGCATCATCATCATCACCATCGTCATCATCATCATCATCATCATCATCATCATCTTCATCACCGCCGTCGATCACCATAACCATCATTGTCATCGTCATCATCCTCATCATCACCATTCGCAGTATCATCGTCACCACCGCCATCATCATCTCCATCACCATCACGATCACCACCATCATCATCAGCAACATCCTCCTCTTCATAAAGATAATCATCATCACCATCACTTTCACCATCACCATCATCATCATCAGCATCATCATCAGCATCATCATCATCATCATCATCATCATTGCTTCCATCACCTCCATCATCATGATCACCATCAGAGCACCATCAACAGCAGCATTAACATCAACAACATTCGTATCAACTTCAGCACATCAACATCAACACTATCGTCATCGTCAGCGTCGTCGTCATGGCCATCATCCTCATCGTCTTCGTCATAGTCATCAATGTTCTGAACTATTGTCATGGCCATCTTGCCGGCAACCACCACCCTGACCTATAGACGAAACAGCCTTCCCTGGGTTGTAGTATGGCTTAGGAAGCTCATCATCGTCATCATCATCGTCATCGTCATCGTCATCATCATCATCATCATCATCACCGCCGTCATCATCACCATCATCATCATCATCATGCTCACCATCCCTACCATCCTAATCATCCTCATAATCCTCATCATCATCACCCTCCTCTTCCTCCTCCTTCTCCTAATTATCATCGTCACCATCCTCATCATCATTATCAGCATCATAATCAGCATCACCACAACCATGGTTATGATCCTCATCCTCATCCTCATCCTCGTCCTCGTCCTCATCCTCATCTTCATCCTCATCACCGTCACCATCACCATCACCATCGCCATCACGATCACCATCACCATCACCATCATCACCATCATCATCACCATCACCATCACCATCACCATCACCATCACCATCATCATCATCATCATCATCATCATCATCGTCTTCATCAGCATCACCACCACCATCATCATTGTCATCATCATCACCATCGTCATAACCATCATCTTCGTCATCATCGTGACCATCATCACCATAAGCGTCACCACCACCACCATGACCACCACTATCATCATCGTCAGCATCATCATCACCACCATCACCATAAGCGTCACCACCACCACCATTAGAAGCACCATCATCATCATCACCATCACCATCATCGTCATCCTGATCTTCGCCATCGCCATCATCATCATCAGCTTCAGCATCATCATCACCGTCGTAATCACCACCATCACCATCACCATCGCCATCACCATCATCAGCATCATCATCATCCTCATCCTCATCCTCATCATCACCACCACCATCACCATCATCATCAGCACTGTCGTCCTCGTGATCGTCATCGTCATCATCATCACCCTCAGCATCATCATTACTCTTATTAGTGTTAGTATTAGCAGCATCAACACCATCATCAGCATCAGCATCAGCACCATCATCATCACCACCATCATCATCATCACCATCACCATCACCATCACCATCACCATCCTCATCCTCATCCTCATCCTCATCCTCATCCTCATCCTCATCCTCATCTTCATCCTCATCCTCATCCTCATCCTCATCCTCATCACCATCATCACCATCATCACCATCATCACCATCATCACCATCATCACCATCATCACCATCATCACCATTATCACCACCATCATCATCATCAACATCATCATCATCATCATCATCATCATCATCATCATCATCATCATCATCATCACCATTATCATCATAATCGTCATCATCATCATCATCATCATCCTCCTCCTCCTGCTCATTATCTCTCTTGTCCTCGGCCTTCTCCTCCTCCGCCCCCCCTTGCCCCCCTCGATCCCCCCAAGCCCAGGGCCTGCCACATCACGTCGTCGTCGGGGGCCACGATGTCGTCGGCCGTCGGGATCTGCCGGCGATGGCGGGGCGGGCGCAGATCCGCCTCGGCAGCGGGCGCGAGGTAGGAAGCCCAATCCACCCTCCAAGAACAGCGCGCCAGGCCACTTGATCGGTGCGGACCGCACGTACGGGTCATCAGGACGGCCCCAGGGCCGCCAAACAATGAGGGGATGAGGGGGAGGAGGAGGAGGAGGAGGAGGAGGAGGAGGAGGAGGAGGAGGAGGAGGAGGAGGAGAGGAGAGGAGGAGGAGGGAGGAGGAGAGAAGGAGGAGGGGAGGAGAAGGAGGAGGAGAGGAAGGAGGAGGAGGAGGGGGAGGGGGAGGGGAGAGGAGGAGAGGAGGAGGAGGAGGAGGAGGGAGGCGGAGGAGGGCTGAGGATAGGAGGAGGAGGGAGGGAGGAGGAGGAGAGGAGGAGGAGGGGACGCGAATGAGGAGAGAACGGTAGGAGGAGGAGAGGGAGGAGGAGGAGGAGGGAGGAGGGGGGGGGAGGAGGAGAAGCATGAGGAATTGGAGGAGGAGAAGGAGGGAAGGGAGGAACGGGAGGAGGAGGAGGTGGAAAAAGAGGATGAGAAAACATGAAGGCTAGAGGAGGAGGAGGAGGAGGGAGGAGGAGGAGGAGGGAAGAGAAGGAGAGGAGGAAGATGCATGGAGGGACGAGAAGGAGGAGGAAGGAGGAGGAGGAAGGAGGAGGAGAGGAGGAGCAGGCAAGCGCTGAGGGAGGAGAAGGAGGGGGAGGCGGAAGGAATGTGTGGAAGAGTAGGAGGGAGGAGGGGGTGGGGAAACCGCAGGCTTGGGGAGGAGGGGGGACAAAACGTGGAGGTGGAGACGGAAGGGGGGAAACGGGAGGGGGTCCGGAGAACTGGATAGGAGGAGGGGAGGAGCAGGAAGGGAGGAGGAGCGGAGGAGGAGGAGGAGGACTGGAGGGGTGAGGTCCTCCTAAGGCACCCATGCGCCCCGTGCGGCCGCGGCTTCGGGCCCCCGTGGCCTGTGCGCCGCGCACCTGGGGGGCGCCTCCTCCCTCCTCGTGCCTCGTCCCTCGCTCCTCCCGCCTCGTCCCTCCTCCTGCTCCTCCTCCTCCTCCTCCTCCTCCTCCTCTCCTCCTCCTCCTCCTCCTCTTTCCTCTCTCTTCCTCCTCCCTCCTCCTCCTTCCTCTTTCCTCCTCCTCGTCCCTCCTCCTCCTCTTCTCTTCCTCCTGCCTCCTCCCTCTCCTCCTCCTCCTCCTCCTCCTCCTCCTCCTCCAGTTGTTGCCTAGACCACTGTCTTTGTTGTCCTCCTCCTCCGTCTTCCCTCCCTTTCCCTCCGGCCCCCCAGCCCGTCCTCCTTCCAACACTCCTTCGTTTCGATTGTTTTTCCTCCAACACTCCTTCGTTTCGATTGTTTTTCCTCGTCGCTCCGCCACGCGTGTCCGTAGGGCATGGCGGGCGTTGCGCTAAAGGTCCTGTAGGCACGTGAGGACTTGTTGTAACTAATGTAGGGCGCGTGCGGGACCCATTGCACGGACCGAGGGCGGGCGTCTTCAGAAACTGCGCGCCCTCCAGAAAGTGCACGACCCCGATGGCTTCAGTATCCTGCTCTTGCACGGGGGAGGCTGGTGTTGTCAAAACCGTGCCCTCGGTGCGAACGCCCGCGCAGTCAGTTCATTGTCTCGAACGCCCAAATCACCGAGCGTGATTCAGATACGGTGAGGTGGTGGCAATTTCACGTTTTCGTTTGGGGGGCCAGCGTGACCTAGGGTTCTGAATTTTGAAATTGGGACTGGCCGCTCTGATGGTTTGCGGCTGGTTTTCGTACTCGGATCTGAGCTTCGGTGCCGCGGGCACTCTGAGAACACACGTTACCTCGCATACTGGATACAAGAAAGGAAGCACCCGCTCAAACATAATAATCTGGCGTGTCTTTAAGGTCCAATGCCGTGTGGTCGCTGGGCGGCAATGTCGGGGGGTGAGATCGCCGTGGAACGGAAGGCCTCCCACCAGTAAATAGGCTTCGGTTTTGTGCTGGCGTCGTGCGTGCTTGCGAGGCGAAGCTGCGTGGGCGCGCGAGAGGAAAAATCATGCCGGCGCTAGGGCGAAAGTCCGGTCCTCGCGTGCGGTGGCTGGGGGTGTCCCGCCGTGGTGTCTTCCTCCTCCTCCTCCTCCTCCTTCCCCTCCTCCTCCTCGTCGTCCTCCCCCTCCTCCTCCTCCTCCTCCTCCTCCTCCTCCTCTTCCGATTATCCTCCTCCTCCTCCTCCTCCTCCTCTTCCTCCTCCTCCTCCTCCTCCTGCTCCTCCTCCTCCTCCTCCCCCTCCTCCTCAGAACTCAGAACTCAGGAAGGGTGCCGACGGGTCCGAAGCCCAATGCAACACCAAGTGAAAAAGGCCTATCCTCCACTCCTCCGTCCCTCTCCCCTGCCCCCGGGGGTCAGCGCCTGCAGCTTCGCAAGCCTAGTCTCCACCAGGGAGGCGGAGGGGATGGAGGTGGAGGGATCAGCGGCGGCGCCGGGGGATAAGGGCCATGGCCGGAGCAGCTCTGCCTCCGTGCCACCTGGCAGGATGCCCTTGCGCAGTTTCCGCAGATCCGAATTCACACGAGGTCTGCATATGAGGTCTCGCAGCTTTAACGTTTTGCTGGCAGCGATGGCGCCACATGCACTGCAGTAGATCACGGGCATCCCGCTCTCACGCACACATGTCATCCATAATCGATGCTGGTACAAAGGATTCTGTGAGACCACAAGGATGACGGGGCCCCAGGACACACACACACATAAATACACACAAATAAAAACAATTCCCCATATTTTTCCCATATTTCCTGGCTTTTCGTTTTCCCCCCCACTTCCCATATTTTCCCATATTTTCTTGGGAATCGACGATTAATTGTGTCTGTGTTTTTTCCCCTCCTGAAAGGACTTCCTCCAAAGACGGGGGAAGACGAATACAGCTGGTGTGAGACAAAAGACGGCTCCCCCCTCTATGGCAACGAGTGCACCTCCACCCCGAACCATGCCACACATGCACGTGGCCGACACGCGGAAGCCCACACTCAGGCACCGATGGAGGGGGCCGGGGGTGCCTAGAGAGGGGGCCGAAGAGCTCCTTGCAGGACGGCCAGAGCTCAAGCATCGAGCACATAGCTTTAGCCACTGACTTATATAAATCCATTGTCTTGACAAAGCTGCGACGGTCATCAGTAGACTGCTGATTCTCGGTGGCGCCGCGCTTCGCGTACTTATCAGCAACAACATTGCCTAGAATATGGAGCCGCTCTAAATCGGAATTGGCACTCTCGACGTTTCGGTGCGCTTTGACCTTCACCAAGGAAGGCACCTTCGAGCCGAGCGCCCTCCAAAACGTGGCATGTTCGCACTTGTGGGACCTGGCCCACAAGGGACGAGAAACTCCATGGATCAAACTCTGGCACTCTGGCAGTCTACGTGCAAGGACTTCCCGTCAAGGAGGCCCGAATGTCGAACGGCCATGTTCAAACCATAGTGTTCACCCACATCCGCAGACTGGGGCAAGCCTTGGGGGACGGGCCCATATATGACTCTCAGGAGGCACCCATCAGAGTCGACCTCCGCCACCGCCCAGCCCGCACGGACGACGCCAAATATGGTGCCGTCAAAGCAACTCCCATCCGCAAAAAGTTCCCCCCCCCCGGAGAAAGTGAAAGGAGCGTCCCCTCCAAGGCCAAGAAAAACAACCTGATGTTGAGGGTAAGGGGAACCTTCAACTACAGGCGGCGCAATCCACAGCCTACTGAACAGGGGGTCCTAGGGTCCGCAATGGAGCGCCATCGCCAGAATCTCCGGATCTATGCCCTCTCTGTCGGCCTCGAACCTCGGGCACACCCACGCTCGATGGTAGATGGTGTCAGGGCACTGGCAATAAACACATAAACCTGAACAATCATATCCCCAATGGCGGAGGTGAGCGCCCGTGGTGTAGCCCATGCAGAAGACTTCCTTCAGCACGCGCTTCATGGGTGGAGTCAGACATTTCCCCGCAATAATACGACGGGGTGGCAAACCCCAAACTCCCCGATCTCGAATATCTGAGGCTCGTTGGCAAGTGGACTCAGGCATTCTGGAGGCCATGGCTCAGCTGAGGTAGACACCGCGCAGATCATCGATGAATGCCCTAGCAACCATGTGGGGCGCATGATCTGTGAGAACCATCGGCTCTCCAAATCGGGTAAGAAATTGGCCGGGACTGACCACTTCCCATCCTGCTTCTCGCATCCACAAGTGAAGATCAGCCATCGGCCCAATACTCTTCTTAAGCCAACTTGCCTTTGCCGGCTGCCCATGAAAATGCCGAAGGGTGGTAGGAGAAACTCCACTAAGCTCTCGAACCGATAACCCGTCTCCCTGAATAAGTTGCGGGTCAGAGGCCTGCCACCACTCTTGGCAATACCTTCTCATCGTGCTTGCTGCAACTTTCAAAAGATCTTTTAACATATACAGCTGCCATCCCAGTTCCATGCTCCGGGCACGGGGGAATCCCAGAGCACGAGAAGCAGCTTTCCTTAGCACTCGTATTTCTTGGGGCGTGTACCCCATAACCTCGCCCCCATACGTCGCGGACGGCTGGATTCCTGTGAAGAACAGCTTCGCTCGCCCAAACGGTGCTGCCTTCAAGTTCCTGACCTTCCTCATCCGCGGCTTGATGACAGCAAAGCGTTTGCGACGAACAACTCTCGCTCCAGCTCTCTGCTGATGTTTTCCCGGCCCAAAATCGGCTCCCAAGTTCTTGGGGAACTCCTGACTCTGGCCGGCCAATTTCCCCAGAGCTCGCTGCGCCGCTAGGACTAGCTCGGTTGAAGAACATGTAATGAACATCTTGTCATCTGCAAGTGGTACCCCCAAAATGTCCTGCAATAGCTGAGCGAGTGCAGATGCACGCTCTCTCATAGTCTCAATGCAGCCATAGAAGGACTCGTCGGCAACACCCCGGCGGAAGTCGTCGATGTGGATAGTCAGGTCAGCCTTACTACTACCTACATCTGCTCTCCATGTGTCGACGCCTGGTACAAGAAAAAGCTTGACCTCGTACGTGGCCGTCGAAGTGCCTGCGATCACCCCTCGGGTAGGTTGCAAGGGATCAGCCACCATACCATCTAGACACAAAAGCCTGGCCCAGCGATAACTGTGAATGGTGTACCTAAGACATGTAATAGGATACTGCACGCTGCATGCTTCCACCCACAGCTTGTGGTGTGAGATGTGCTCATAGTACTGGCGCAAATCCCATCATACTGATAAAAGGTGGTGTCCTTCCTGGGCAAGGGCTTCACCCCGAACGCTCTGCCGCCAGACTGCATCCATGGGGCCCCGTCCTGGAGCCATGGAGAAACCACAATGAGACCCCAGGGACTTTTCCCACTCCTTGGCCTCCCATGCGAGCGTCCTCCCATGAATCCGAGATAAGCTAGTGAAGAAACCAATGCAACGACGCCCCTTGACAGCTTTGCGGATCAACTGGATTCTTACCCACTGCAATGTCGTAGGCGCTTCTCCCACAACATTCATAAGCTGGAACAGCCCTGCTAAAATTGCCAGAGACGTGTCCGAGAGCATTGAACAATGTCGTGGGTGAAAGCCATCGGCAGCAGTCGTCCGCTCCTTAAAAATCTCCGTGAGATCTCACGTAACACATCAGCCTGGGCCCTCTCAGGAACGAGGCTGGGAGCCCATGTCAAATGGCGTGTCGGCGCCAATGTCTCCTGGCGCTCCAACCCCATGAGATGTTTCCAATGTGTGCTGGACGGGCTTCGCACGCCATGCTTTGATATGTTTGTCACGATATTGCTTCAGGCCCTCCAGCTGCGAAGAGGTAGTTCTCCCCTCAGGATCTACATACACTTCTTCCTGGTACTCAGGGTCCAGACGGGTCATGGCGTGCGCTGCTCCTGCTCCTCCAGCAGTCGCCTCCTCACACCACTCCTCCCATTTAGCCCTCCTGTCTTTCTTATCCTTGCCGACCTGCTCCTTGCTGGCAAGCTGGATGGCCGTAGTCCACGCATCAAGAGAAATAGCTAAATTGGCGTTCGGCTCGCGATGATGATTCCAGAGCTGCTTCACAAGCAAGCATGCTCTGAGGACCGGGGTCCCTTTTGTGGCGGCTGGTGACTGGAATGTGATACCAGGGACGCTCAGAGCAGGTATCGATCTCGGACTCTTAGTTGCAAATCTGCGGTTTGACCCGAATTCGGATTCACATCGATTTCGACCGGACGGATCAGATTGACTATTTTCTAGTGGCCAGACAGTTGGATCACGTCTGTGGTACCCCCGTGGTTGATGAGAGCAGTACGATGTCTCCTCACAAGCCTGTGAAGATGACCTTGACTCATGGATCTAACGTGAGCGTGCCGATTCTTCGACCATATGCACGGTTACCATGTGCGCCGGCAGTGGGACCAGCGCCAGCTCCACCCGACTACTTTGAACTATCTCAGACGTTGGAAGGATATCTGGCTGGGTTGAAAGATGAGCACTGGTGCATCTATACACAGCATGGCGCAGATCGAGTCTCCTCCTCCTCCTCCTCCTCCTCCTCCTCCTCCTCCTCATTCTCCTCCCCCTCCTCTTCCGATTCTCGCTCTCACCTCCTCCTCCCCTCCTCCTCCTCCTTCTCCTCCTCCTCTCCTCTCTCCTCCTCCCCCCTCCTCTTCCGATTCTCCCCTCCTCCTCCTCCTCTCCTCCTCTCACCTGCTCCTTCCTCCTCCTCGCCCCTCTCCTCCTCTTCCTTCTGTGCGCTCGCGCGCGGGCGTGGCCTGGGCGGCCGGCGGCGCGGGCCGGCGACGCGTTCTCCGCGGCGGCGGCGCGGAAGCCCGCGGAGGTTGCCCGCGTCCTCGGGCGGCCCGTGCCGCTCCCCCTCGCCCTCCTCCTCCTCCTCCTCATCCTCTCCTCCTCCTCCTCCTCCTCCTCCTCCTCCTCTCCTCCTTCCCTCTCCTCCCTCGTCCTCCTCTCCTCCTCCGCATCCTCCTCCTCCCTTACCTCACTCCTCTCGTCTCCTCCTCCTCCTCCGTCCGCCTCCTCCTCCTCCCTCTCCTGCCTCCTCCTCCTCCTCCTCCTCTCCTCCGTCTCCTCCTTCCTCATCCTCCTGTGCTGCAGGCTATGTGCCTATCAGCGGCGCAATCCAATCGCTCCCTCCCTCCCTCCCTCCCTCCCGCTCCCCTCCCCTCCCCCCCTCTCCTCTCCTCCCTCCTCTCCCTCCTTGCCCTCCACAGTTACACAATATGAATACTACTCTCCTCTCTCCCCTGACTCTGTCCGGAGAGTGTTCCGTCCGAGCCTCTCCACGTATTGTCTCTTATACACACGATTTCATTATTTTGCTTGTGCTATGTGTTTTTTCAATGCGGTCGTTTCAAGTTCTTCCAAAATTGTGTTCCCGTTGCAGCGCCGCTCTCATTTCCGCGCTTCGGTCATTCAAAGTCATGCTCTCGCTGCAGCGCTGGCCTCGTTCCCGCGCCTCTGGACGGCACTTGGCATTTGAAAGCGCCCACAGCGGGCAAGCACGGTTGCGGAGGACATGGAACCGGCATTCCGGACAAGCCCTGTCCTCTCGTAGACGGGCCACTTCCCCTCCAAGTCATCCGGTTCCATGCCACGGCATGGAATGCGGTACCGTGTAGTGCGCCGCTGTGCGTTGCCATGCTTTGCATTGCTATGCTTTGTGACGCAATACTTCACTACGCCATGCCACGCGTTCTGCAGTGCTCCTCTACGCCATGCTTTTCCATCCATCGCGTACCCTCTCGGGATCGCTGCCCTGCTCGACATCTGGCTATGCGAATAGATCGGACATCGGCGCCACGACGAGGGATGGAAGGGAGGGGTAGAACGCCAGACAGACGTGCCGCTAGCGCACCTACCCTGAGATCCGACGTTGCAGATAAGCTGCAACAGCGCAGAAGATCACGCCCGGAGTCCCGGACCCCATCTTTCTGCGTCATTTTTCGAGCCGAATCGATCTGCGAGGGTCCCGGGGCCCGAAGCGAGGCGAAAACGCCCGGCGTGAACAAAAAAATGCAATGCCAGGATCGCAGGGTAGCTTGCCTCCTGCCCTCCCCTCCCCTCTCCTCCCCTCTCCTCCCCCCCCTCCCCTCTCCTCCCCTCCTCCCTCTCACCCCCCTCCCTCCCCCCCCCCCCTCCCCCCTCCCCCCCTCCCTCCTCCTCCCCCTCCCCCCCTCCCCCCCCCCCCCTCCCCCCCACCCCTCCCCCTCCCCCTCCCCCCTCCTCCCCCCCACGGGCCCCTTCCCGTCCTCCTGCCACGGCAGCGCGCTGCGCACCGCCAGCCCGCTGGTGCGCGCGGCCCCGGCAGGCCGGGGGGCCAGGAGCCCCGCCGCGGCGGCCCAGAGCAGGGCGCCCCGCCGCGGGGCGCGCGCGGCGGCGCGGCGCGGCGGCGCGGCCATCGGCGCGAAGGGGGGGCGCACTCCCCAGACATCGGGCGTCTCGAAAAAATCGAGACGGAAGTTTTTCATAGTTTTCGGCCTCTCGGGGCCCTCGCCGGGCCTCGGGGCCGTCAAAAAACGGCTCGGGATGAAAATCCGGTCCCAGGGAAGTGGTCGGGAGGTCGGGGGCCCGCGCCTCGAAAAAATCGAGACGTCGGATGTCTGGGTCCCTGTGATGAAGAAGAGGGGGGTCCCCAGAGACCCGAGGATCCGATTTTTTCAGTCCCGCGGTGGGCCCGGAATTTCGGCAGCCAGGGGCCCGTCATCGGGCCCGGGGGCCGTCAGAAGTGGATCCGGGACGAGAAACCACCCCAACGGAAGGGGTCGGGAGCTCTGGGGCCGCGGCTTGAAAAAATCAGATCGTCGGATGTCTCGGGAGGCCTCCGGTGCAGTCGGAGGAGCTTGGCAAGTTCGGTGGGGGGGAGGGGGAGTTTCGGGCATTGCCCACAATCAAACGAGCCACAAATTGAAGGGCTCCGCCTGTACGTGGGCCCACCGAGGGTGCTTTTACCCTTCGAGATCTTGCTCGATGCTGCGGCGGCATAGTTAGAAATGGCTTTCTTCTGAAGAGCAGCTTCTGTAATGCAATCCTAAGCAAGATTGCGGAACCAGCCTCCAGTTGTATACGCCTTGCTTGCGTCTGGAGCAGGCATATAGCAACGTACCGTTGGTGCAAGAACAAAAACCTTAAACGAGTGCTTGCGCCGACCCATCTCGAGGGAGACGGCGGGCAACTCACCATAACATTTTTTTGTCGGAAGCTTCTGCTCAGAACGTCGGCTCTTTTTAAGCAGCGCTGACACCTCAAAAAAGAAAGGCACTACAGCGCCTCGTGGAAAGTGCCAATTGACTTCGACGCCTGCTGACGGGGAGGAGCAGGGACTCGAGGGACGCTATCGAAATCCAGCCTTGGCCAACTCGGTCTGAGGCGGACTGCAAAGGCACAGACTTTGCGGGCAATATCGACTTGATCGTCTATTGCCTGCAACTCGATGGCCGATGCTCTGGGGTGGCCCCGCGTTCCCTGTTTAGCAGCGGCGTTTCATTCCCTCGCTTTGAAAATTACGAATGTTCGCAGAGCCTTCCGTCGTCCATGACGTGAGTTTTCACCCCTTCAGGAAAGGGCTCCTGCGCATTTTTTGGTAAGGGGGCCTGCGTGGGCTCAAGGCAGTTGCGCGCGAACGCAGCGCTGGCGCAATCCGAAAAGCTTCCAGAAAGAGCGCGCCGGAGCCCACGGGTGGCCCCTCCTAGCCAGCCAGGGATGTCCGAGGGGGGAAGCTAGGAGCTGGGCCCGCAACCGCGCGCGACAGCTGACTCTCGAAGCCGTGCGCAGCCGCCCCCCAGCCTGCCCTAGACATCTCGACTATGGGGCTCTTGAGACCTGAACCATCGAAAAAAAAACAGCCCATCGAAGTTGGCCGCGCATTCGTGAGGTCGTCTGCCCGCCGCGCCTCCGTTTCTCCTCCAGCAAAAGGCCCCGGTACAGACGCGCCTGGGCGTGCGAGGAAGCCTCTGGTGAGAAGATTCCAACCGGGGCCGTCGGGCGCGACGGTGGCTGCTCGGGCGATAAGAGCCGCGCCCACGATCTCGCCGCGCGGCTCCCCGGCAGCCCCGCAGAACCACGAGCGGCGCATCGTGGCATCTTCTGCGGCAACACAGAGAGCGCAAAGGGCGTTGCCGAATATGCGCCCCGGCTCAGGTGTCCGAGTTCTGGCCCAGCATGCTCCGCGCACCAGGCGCCGAATGCGGCCCTTCTCGAAGAGCGACCATTTCTTCCTCCTAAGCTCCTGAAGACCGATGTCGAGGCAGGCTCGCTCTGAGCCCGCCCCCATGGAGCTTCCCAAAAAGTATCTGGAGCTGGCTAAAACACGCGGTCTCCGGGCAACTTCTTGGGCGACGCTGGGGAGGTGGAGTTCAAACCGAGGGGCTTGCTGGTCCGCGGCAACGGCGACGACGTCGCCCATGGCTCGCCCGATCCTGGAGAGAGAAGCCCTGACAGCAAAGGAACAGAAAACTCAAATTGCCTCAAGCAAGTGATCCCCGCCTCCATCTATAGCGTAGAACTGGCAACTGGCGCCGTCGCGGCGTAGCGGCGCGGGTCGAGCTCTAAAGTCGCGAGCGCCGCGAGCCCGCGCGAACGGGAGAGCGGCGCGGCCGCTTGAGCTCGTGGTCTGGAGCGCCGCGCACCTCGGCTCCAAAACGTCGCGCCTGCCAGAGGACCTGCAGCGAGCATCTTGCGTGGCCACTTGCCGAGAGCAGCCTTGGACTTCTTGAACCTCTTGACTCTCGCCCCCAAGGTTTCGACCCCGGACATCCAGTGGTGGCACCCGTTCCATCTGCGCCTAGCTTTACCAGTCGTGTCGCCCATGCCCATGTTGACTGCGGACTGCTCAATGGGGTCTCCTGCGAATCGCCCCCGGAGCTGAACAATCTTTTCCACGGGGGCCATCGTTGGAGCAATGACAGAAGCTTTGTCGCCCGCCACTCTGCAGTGCAGATCATGCTGAATGGCGGCCGTGAGCATGGCGATGGCAATTGAGGTCCATGCGGGCGGCTGACGTCGCGACCGCGGCGCCGACGCCGTAGTCGTCGATGTAAATGTCTAATTGCGCGCCAAATAAAAGCGGCAGAGGGTCGATGGCTGGGGCCAAATTGATTCTCGCGAAGACGGTAGCCGCCGAACACCCCGCCGCGACTCCATTGATCGCGTAGCAGGGGCCTGCAGACATGTCGGAGGGCGCCAGAAACCTGGCTCCGAGAAAAGCCGCCACGCGCGCTCTCGCGATCTGCGCGGGGATGCTGAGCTGCGCAGCCCTGGGCTCCGTCAGTGGTAAAGGCATCCCCTCGTAGGAATTTAAGCTATCCCGCAGAGCCGCGCCGGCGGCTGTGCCTTCTCTCGCGCCCGGCTCGCGACGGGGCGCCTGCCCCCACGGCGCATCCGAGGCCCCGTTCGAGGCCGCGGCCGCGAGATGCCTCCGAGAGTGGGCCAGCTCCCAGGTGGCGGCGATCCCGCCGCGGCCCTTACCCGAAGCTGGTGCCCCGAGCTAAGAAGGCTGATGGACTTGAAGGTCCCCTGGGGCTTGGACAAAAGGGCCATCTGAGGCACCTGCGCGCGGTGCGGGGGGGGCCCCGTCGATTCGATGAGCTTGCTCAATAATTCCAGAGGCCTCTAAACAACCGTCGGACACGCTGGCGCAGTGCCGCACGTGGAAAACATCACAGACAAAAGCCGCGGCGTTGGAGTAGGAGCGGCCCGCCTTGCGAATGGCACCTGGTGCGAGGGTCTCGGGGGGCTCCAGAATCTCGCGAGGCTTGCAGATGATGTCTACCTCCGTCTCCGCAAGCCGCGGACCTGCAAGCCTGGCCGCCTCTGTCTTCGACAGAGCGCGCGGATCGCGCCCTCCTTCCTCCCGAGGCAATCCCTGTGAGCCAGGCCTGCCAGCCATTGAAGCTGCGAGCGCGCGCCTCGGCCGAAAACTTGCCGACGGGAGACGTCGAGCTCGGAAAGGGGGCCCGGCGGGCGGGCCCCGCCCTATATCGAGACCCCCAGGGCGCCCGTCCTCCCCATCGGTGGCAAAGGCGCCCGCCCTGAGGAAATCGCCCTGGCTGGAGGTGTCACTCAAGGCATGGTCTCACAAACGTCCAACCGAAAAATAATAACAAACAATCGCAGACCAAATCGATCGAGCGACAGTCCACGCGAGTCGCCCTCGCGTGATTTGCAGACGGAGCGCGCATCGCAGAGCGAAGCGGGCCCCCCGCCTCAGCGGCTGACAACCTCACCTCCGAGGCGAGGTTGTCAGCCGCTGAGGCGGGGGGCCCAGCATAGCCGAACCGTGAGTTCCCAAATCCTCCGACTGCTGGAGGCCCTCGAGGAAAGCTCTAAACTCTCTGGCCAGCCATCTGAAAGCGAACAAATCAAAGTGCTGGATGGCGCTGCGCGCGGAGTCCATGTTCGCGACAGCAGCCCGGGTCAGCTTCGGGGATCGCCCCGTGGCTCCGCGCCGAGGGAGAGACGGAGATCTGGGCGCCGCCGCCTCGGACTCCACGGGGTCCGCCCACTCCTGGAAGGGCTTGTCAACGCGCTTGTGCCTACGCCCCCCCAACCTTCGCGGGCGAGGGCGGGCGCCTGATCTGCCGACGTGGCCCTGGCAGGTGGCCCGAGTGGCTGCTCCGTGGGGAGCTCGGGGGGCCCCGTGAAGCCGAGGGCCTCGAAGTCCGCGGGGCACTCGTGGAAGGCGTGCTCGGTGGGGGGGGCGACGAGGGCGGGGGGGCGTCTTGACGTCGGTGTCCGACCGCGCTTCGCCGTTCAGAACGCGCTTGCTGAGACCAGGTGGGTTCATGGAAATCTAGGGCGCTGCCCGCCTTTCTGCCGCCGTGACAAGACAGCGAAGAAGGCGAAATAATGTTGCCGGCGAGGCGCTCGAAAAAGGAAATGGCCCCGAGCGTGGAAGACGACGTGCTACTGTCTGCGCCCGCAAACCAGGAATTTCCAAACTCTTGCACGCTGCTTCCTCTGGATGCCAACGTGGCCCCGTTCCTCTGAGGCGGCCCCTCGCCGTCGCCAACGCGCGTAAACCGTCGAAGTGGGGGTCCCTGGGGACTTCTTCAGCGCCGGCAGCGGCTCCGCCAAGGAGACGCTGAGCTCCAACGTCGGAGACGGAAATAGGTGTAGGCCCGAACCAGGAGAGCCAGTCCCCCACCCGCACCTCTTCCAGAGGCCTCCTCCGCATCCACAACTATAATCTTTTGCCCCCCGACTGCGCGCCGCCGGGGGGCCTCATAGCAGTCTGCGTTGGAAAGGATACGGTGCCCCTGAACGAACGTCGCCTGCGCGGAGGATGGCTGGACCCGTGGCGTAATCGACGACCGTGCCGCGCAGTTGATCGTCTCGACCACCAATGCGTGCTTCGATGCTGGGCTGGCAGGGGGGGGGGCCGTGAAATTGGCATGGTCAGCAAGCTCCCATAAGGAAAATGCAAGGGTGCTCGCCAGCGCCTCCGTTGACGTGCCGAGCGGGAAACTGCCTGTCCTGCTGTCCGCCACGACCGACCGAGAGACCAGGGCAAGACGGTGCATCGCGGGGCGGGGTCTGTTTTCACCCCCGCACCGTGGCGTCCTGAGACAATGAATTCCGATGGCGGATGGGGCAACTAGCGGGGGGGAGATGCTGGGCGGCTGGCCGCTGAGCTACAAAGTGAGCCAGGAAGCTGCGCGCTGCGCAATCAACTTCCGGCTGCAAGCGGCCTCGCGCTCACCCCGTGCGCGCTGAGACGGCATGCGCAAGTGAATGCCGATGTGCGGCCAAGCTTTCACATCGCTGCTCGCCCCCCCGCGCGCGCCGCCCCCGGGGGGGGGGGGGGAACTTTCCCTGCTTTGGTCCGCGTCGCCCTGAGACGCCGCGGCTCCGCCGACGGTGTCTATGGCTGAAGCGGCAGGCGACTTGTCGCCAGGTGAAGCGGGCACAGAAGTGGGCGCGCCCTCAGGCTCGCGAGTTCCACCAGTTGGTGCTGGTAGATCCGCTCTCCCCTGACCTCCTGCTGTTGACCCGTCTTCCGCGCGTCGCTTCTTTGCCGCCGAGCGTGCGCGATGCTCGCGATGAGCTTCCCTGGCGCCCTTCGCAGCCTGCACAAGAGGCCCGAGCAAGTCCTTGGCCAGCTTGGAAGCACCTGCGGGAGGGGCGGCTTCCTCTTGGCGATGGCGCCACGGCCCTTCTGCAACAGGTCCTGCTCCGCTTCGAAAAAAGAACCCCCGTCGATCCAGAATAGCTCGCTGACGTCAGACTTGTCGCCGCAGACGTCGTCGAGCTTCACCTTTGGAGCCGAAGGCGCTGCCGCTGCCTCGGCCGCAGGGAGGGCCGCTTGTTGCTGCAACTCACGAGCCAATGCCTTGCACTCTTGGTCTGCAGCGTCGAGTACGGCGCGCAAGTCCCTTACAGTAGACTCTTGAACGATGATGTCCTGGCGCCATGAAAGCACCTTGTCGGCCGCTCAGTCCAACTGCTTCTCCAGCCGCGATGCCACTGCGAAAGCCCTTTGAATTTTCCGATGCGTAGGGCCAGGACGCTGTGGTGCCTCCAAATGCTGGAGCTTCTTGTAATCCGTCTCGTATCTGCCCGCCGTGACCAGGTCCCCTCCTTTCCTCGCCAGCTCGGCCAGGTGCTGGGCCTCGCCGGAATAAAGCTGGCTCTGGGCGCCAACGGGCAAGCGCGTAGAGGAAACCACCCTGGACGACTGCGGGGCCGTTCCTGCAGCTCCCTTGGTTGAACACGCAGGGGACTGAGCTGTTGGCGGGGCGAAGACACCTGGAGGTGCGTGTGCCCAAGCACCGCGAGGAGGCTGCCCACCATCAGCAAGAGCCACATTTGCCAGAGCTGTCCCGCAGTGCTTGCAAAACCTCGCCAGCTTGGGATTATTGCTGCAGCCGCCGCTGCCACACTTGAACCTGGATAGAGTGGCGGTGGGGAGAGGAGGAGGAGGAGGAGGAGGAGGAGGAGGAGGAGGAGGAGGAGGAGGAGGAGGAGGAGGAGGAGAGGAGGAGGAGGAGGAGGAGGAGGAGGAGGAGGAGGAGGAGGAGGAGGAGGAGGAGGGGAGGAGGAGGAGGAGGAGGAGGAGGAGGAGGAGGAGGGGAGGAGGAGGAGGAGGAGGAGGAGGAGGAGGAGGAGGAGGAGGAGGAGGAGGAGGAGGAGGGGGAGGAGGAGGAGGAGGAGGAGGAGGAGGAGGAGGAGGAGGAGGAGAAAGAGGAAGACCAGGAGGCGCGTCGACCGACCCGCCCTCCTGCTGCGCAAGGGGCCGCTGAGGCAAAAGAGGGGGAGGAGGAGAAGGAGGAGGAGGAGGAGGAGAAAAGGAGGAAGAAAAGGAGGAGGAGGAGGAAGAAAAGGAGGACGAGGAGGAGGAGGAGGAGGAGGCGGAGGAGGAGGAAGGTGGGGGAGGATGGAGGAGGACGAGGAGGAGGAGGAGGCGGAAAAAAGGGGGAGGAGGCGATAGGCCCAGCCGATGCGCTACGCCCGGACGATAAGCCTAGTCCGGGTAGTCGCGCACCTCAACGTTAGGTGCGTGCCGGGGCTGCGGATCGGCGGGAGAGGAGGAGCAGGGCCAGGAGGAAGGGAGGAGGAGGAGGAGGAGGAGGAGGAGAGAGGAGGAGGAGGAGGAGGAGGAGGAGGGGGAGGAGGAGGAGGGGGAGGAGGAGGAGGAGGAGGAGGAGGAGGGAGGAGGAGTGGAGGGGGAGGAGGAGGAGGTGGAGGAGGAGGAGGAGGAAGAGGAGGAGAACCGATCCCCACCCGACCCTCTGCAACTGCACTGGAGAAGCGGCACAAGCACAAACATTCGGAGGTCCGCGCGGATGCCGTGGATCGGCGCTGGGCCTCCCTGGTGGCCTCGGGCGGCGCCCCTGTCGCGCCCCGCGCGCCAGGGAAGGGGGTCCAGCGCCGCTCCAAGAGCTTCACGCCGACCCCCGAAAGTGTAATGCTGATGCAGCTCGTTCCTCCTCGATCTCAGGGTGACGCCAACTGGGCATCTGCACCGATCCTGGTCAGGCCCATCCTGAGCCCAGGAGCAAGGTAGAACGCCCCACTGGCCTGGCTTGGACGCACGCGCGCTGGTCCCTGAGCCCCAGGGGCCGAAACCCGGCCAGGATTGGTGCAGTGTGCGCCGCTTGGTGCCCTCCGATGTGTAGACTCGCGGGCCGCTCTCCCTGTTGGGCGAGCGGGATCGAGGGACGCGGCCCCTAGCGGGGCATCTTGAGCCAGACGGAGGAGGGGCGGGGGGAGGATGCTGGAATCAAGGAGGGGGGGGGGGGCAGGGGGAGCGGGGGGGAGGAGGGGGGGGAAACGCGGGGAGGGGAAGCATGGGGGGGCAGGGGGGAGGGAAGGGGAAACAAGGGGGCGGAGCGAGGGAAGCGGAAGGAAGCGAGGGGGAGAGGGGGATGGTACCTGGGCCCACCGCTTCGAAACGAGGGGGAGCGGGGGGGGGAGAGGGAGGGACGGCCCAGGGACGGTGTAGGGGCGGGAGGGGGAACAGCGGGGGAGAGAGAGGGGGGCACGGGCCCTCGGGGGGGCCCTGGGGCGGCGCGAGGACGCGCGGCGCGGGGAGGGCGAGGAGGGCGTGGGCGATCGGGGGAGGGAGGGCGGAGGAGGAGCTGGGGGAAGGGGCAGAGGGGGGCAGACAGCATCAGTTTCGCCGGAAGGTTCGAAGAGGCACGAGAAGCACGGATTCCGATTCGGTGTGGGCATCCTAGCCTTTTCGGGCATTCGTCGCTGCAAACTGTGGGAAGGGCGGGGAGAACGGCGTTTCTTCATGCATGCGAGTTGTTGCCACATGCTGACCTCGCGGTGACAGATCTCCCAAGGGCTGGCCAACGACGCTGACGCCTGCCGCGAAGACCAGGCATACGCTCAGTCCTCGTACGCCGACATCTGGCGTGCGCCCTTTCTTTTGCAAGTCGATCGTCGTCCTGCTGCGTACTTGTGCCCTGCGCATGTCAAGGTTGATGATTATGTTGAAGAGCTTGCTTCCATGATCCTGCGGGAGTACCCGTTGCTCAGTGTGTGGGCGGATCACTTCGCCAGGTGTGGTGCTGAGTGCCACTCCTTCGCCCACACACTCGTCACGTCGTTCGGAACGAAGCTCCAGGATGCGACGATGCAGGCCCGATTCTTGTCGTATGCGGCTACTGCTCTGGTGTTCAAAGATGCCGAGTCGGGGAGGCCTGATGGGCTCTTGAAACGGATGCATGAGTCCACATCCACGCCCTGTGTACGAACCTGTCCTCACACTGTGGTCGTTCGGAGCCCCGGGGTCATCAATGCAGGTGCTGTTCGGCCATTGCTCGGACTCCAGCCAATCTCCGAAAGCATGCCTGGCTCTGCCAGCTGCTCCGGGTGTCGCCCCTCCCGGAGCAACGAGCCCCGAGGGCTTGGAGAGATTCAGCCTTGGCAGCGAGCCCCACTGTACAGAAGTGGGGCTGCTCCGGCTGCGTCAGATTTTGTCGACTCTAGGTCGTCGATGGGCCTCCTGGGGCTCCTGTGGATGGTCCGCCTGGTCCGGGGGAGTCTGTACCGCCTGAGTCGGATTAGATCGTTGAGCTCGATGGCCATCGTGTTTTGTTCTAGCTCGGGGTTCGCCGAATTTGGAGCTGTAAGCTGTCGGGCAAGTGCGATGGTCCTTGGAACACAGGAAGACCCGCTCGAATCCATGATATGCTATGGCAGCCACCAAGGCTGGCAGGCACCCTAACACGGGGAACCCCCTCCAGGTGCCTGAGGCTTAAGTACTGTTTGTCCGTCCTGACTGGCTGTCACGTCTGAATGTTCGGAACGTCCTGATTCTCGAAACGTTGAGTGGGCCCGATGTTGGCCCTTGCTCCCGCTTCTGGTTGCAAGACTTGGCTGCACGTGGGTTCCTCCTCCTCCTCCTCCTCCTCCTCCTCCTCCTCCGCCTCCTCCTCCTCCTCCTTCTCCGCCTCCTCCTCCTCCTCCTCCTCCTCCTCCTCCTCCTCCTCCTCTCTCCTCCTCCTCCTCCTCCTCCTCCCTCCTCCCCCATCCTCCACCCCCCATCCTCTGATCCTGCTCCTGCTCCTGCTCCTGCTCCTCCTCCTGCTCCTCTTCCTTCTTCCTCCTCCTCCTCTCCTCTCCTCCTCCTCCCTCCCCATGCACGGAAGCGGGCGGTCCTGCTGCCTCTCCCACGCGTCCCACGGCGCCGTGTCCGCGCCCTGTGGCCCAGCGCCGTCCTCGGCCTGTCGCCGATGAGCTTCCGAGGGGGGACGAATCGATGAACGGGAGGAGAGAGTCCAGATGGATCGAGGAGGAGACGGAGGAGGTAAGGAGGGGGGGAAGGAGGAGGAGGGGAAGGAGGAGGAGGGGAAGGAGGAGGAGGAGGAGGAGGAGGAGGAGGAGGAGGCGACTAGGACACCGGTGGTGAGGAGATGAAGGAGGAGGAGAGGAGGAGGAGGAGGAGGAGGAGAGAAGGAGGAGGAGGAGGAGGAGGAGGCAGAGGAGGAGGAGGAGGAGGAGGAGGAGGAGGAGGAGGAGGAGGAGGAGGAGGAGGAGGAGGGGGAGGAGAGGAGGAGAGAGGAGGAAGAGGAGGAGGAGGAGGAGGGAGGAGGAGGAGGAGAAGGGGAGAGGAAGGAGGAGGGGAGGAGGAGGAGGAGGAGGAGGAGGAGGAGGAGGAGACAGAGGAGGAGGAGGAGGAGGAGGAGAGGAGGAGGAGGACTAGGACTAGGAGCAGGAGCAGGAGCAGGAGTCAAGCTAGCCAGCTCGAGCGAGTCAAGCATGGTATGCCCATTCCCACCCGCCCTCCCACAACATAAGAAACAGTGCTGGCGCAACTGGGGACCGAAATCAGATCGGCAAGGTGGTTTGCCACAGCTGATGCAGCCGCGATGGCGGCTATCGATAAGAGATCCCTGGCGTGTCTGAAAGACTGCGCTGGCATTTCAGCACGAGTCGAGGAGGCCCCAGGAAGCCTCGGGAGGCCCCAGGAGGCCTCAGGAGAAGCCCCAGCGACCCCCAGGAAGCCCCAGGAGGCTTCAGGAGGGCCTAGGAAGCCCCAGGTAATTCCAGGAGGCTTGAGGAAGCCATAGGAAGTGTCAGGAGGCCCCCGGGGAATCCCAGGAACCCCCAGGATGCCTCAGGAGGTTCCAGGAGGATCCACGAGGCCCTGGGGAAGCCCCGGGAAGCCCCAGGATGTCCCAGGAGACTCTGGGAGGCCCCAGGGGGCCCTATGCGCTCGACGAAATGGCGAGCGAAAAATGTGCGCCGCGCCTTAGCGGGAGCGCAACTTTCAGGAAACATGCGCGCCGCGCCGAAGCGAGCGCGACAGTTCGCCCTGTCGCGCGCGATGTGCACCGCCCCCCCTTCCTGCCACGCATTTCGCAAAGCCGACGACCAGAAAATCCCCACTGAGAAGAAACATGCCGACTTTGTATGGTTTTTGAAAGGTAGGATGGCCCCTCCCGCTTGGGGTTGCCCCAGACGTCCGCGCGCGATGTGCGCCGCGTCCCATTCCTGCTACAAATTTCGCATCGTCGACGACAAGAAAGGCCATTTTGAGAGACAAAACGACGACATTGTATTGATTTTTTACAGTTCGGATGGGAGGGCCTGGATTGACGGCCGCGCGCGATGTGCGCCGCGTCCTATTCCTGCTACGCATTTCGCACCGTCGACGACAAGACAGGCCATGTTGAGAGAAACATCGACGACTCTATAATGATTTTTTACAATTAGGATGGGAGGGCCCGGATGGAACCCCTATCGGCTGGCCAGAGGGGGAAATAAGAGCATATTCTAATAAGAATAAGGATAGGAGGGAAGATAATGAGGATGATGATGATAAGGAGGAGGAGGAGGAGGAGGAGGAGGAGGAGGAGGAAGAGGAGGAGAAGGAGGAAGGGAATGAGGAGGAGGGGGAGGAGGACGAGGAGGAAGAGGAGGAGGAGGAGGAGGAGGAGGAGGAGGAGGGAGGAGGAGGAGGAGGAGGAGGAGGGGAGAGGGAGGAGGAGGAGGGGAGGAGGAGGAGGAGAGAGGAGGAGGAGAGAGAGAGAGAGAGAGAGAGAGAGAGAGAGAGAGAGAGAGAGAGAGAGAGAGAGAGAGAGAGAGAGACGCAGGTCGCAACATAGAACGGCGAATCATCCGAGAACGCTACGACGACGACTATATCATACCGAGAGAGGGTGATAACACACCAACCCTCGGAGAAAACCAAACGCATTACTGATCCGACTGGACGAGCGTGATCCCAATTGCGGGGTGCCTGCCTTCAGGGAGCCGGTCCCTGGCTCGCCGGCGGGCAGGGTTGGGGGGCTTCGTGGGGCAGGGGTCACCGAGGGCCTCGATCTTGGCCGAGCCCAGGGCAACTCGGGCCCCGCCACGCCCACAGAACAGGAAGGACCCTGTCCTGTGAATATGGTGCCCGTCGCACACGAGTGGACTCCCATCCGCCCCCGCACCCAAACTGGCAGCAGCAGCGGCACAGGCAGCCTCACCCTCCCCCTCGGCATGCTGGAGCCAGCCGAACCGCTCGGCAGTCGCAGCAGGCTGGCGCAGCATCGGCCCGGGCTCACATCTAGCCCCTGGCTTGTGCAAGGGCTTGCCACTGGCTGGAATCCGAGCAGCCGCCCAAATTGCCTGCACTGCAACGCCGAGGATCCAGGAGCGAGGGGCACGGTACCGTGAGCGACAACAACCAGCCTCGGCCTTTCCTCCCTGGGCGGCTGCGGAGGGGCTGGGCCAGCACCAAAAACATCTGGCCGAGCACACATACTTTGAACCGCTCGGGCCAGAAACTGGCATGACAAGTTACACTCTTTAATGGCCTCCTGGAGGGACGCGGCCGCAACGTCGGCAACAGCAACATCAAGGGCTCCAAGCCTTGCGAAGAAGTCCGCCCAAGCATTACCCATGCACTTCCAAATTTCGCCAGCACACGCTCCTTGCTCAATTCACCCCTCCAAACAGAGGTGCGCAGTAGTCCAGTGGAACTCGGGGCGCATAGCATGGCGAGCACAAACACGAAATATGCCGCGCCAAATCGACGCGCGCGGGCAAAGCAATGCTCCAGGTTGGGATCCCAATCTTGCCCCTCATGAACAAACGAATGGTGATCACTAGTGATGACGGGAGGTTGGTCTCCAGTAGGCCCCAGGGAAACAGCATCGAACCCAGCACACCTTTCGGACCGCGGGGCCGACTGGAAACGCCCTGGGAGCCCGCCAGATCTCGGATATCTCGACAACGTTCCAGCCACAGCGAGTGGCTTCGGGCACCGCACTGTGCAACCCCCACCCGTCAGTGAACCTATACCTGCCCCAGGGACCGTCTGCGAGACCCCAGGTGGGCACCGGCGCCCGAGCTAAGGGAGGGGGCAATTGGATGGGGAGCGAGGGAGGCCCGCAGAGGAGAGGAACGCGATCACAATCGGGAGGACCGATGTTGACATCGTACCCTTTCTCCCGCAAGGCTTGCCTACGCGCCCAAACATCTTCGGGAAAATCATGCTGCTCGCCTCCTCCTCCCCAGACACGAAAGCACTCGAACAATCATAGAGTACAAGCAGCGGACGGGGCCAAGACAGCCGCATGCTTGCGAGCTGGTGGCCGCAACCCTCCAGACCATAGCGCACGGAGCGACCCCTGCCAGCCACCCGCGGGGAGGGCCAGAATCGCGAGGCGCATCGCTCGAGCCCAACAGTACTCGGAACCCGTTGTTTCTGGCCTGTGGAAGGGGACCCTGCGCCAGAGCCAACGCTCCACACCATCGCGCAACAACTTACGGACCTCGCTTGGCGAATACTCATACAGCGAGATATGGTCTCCGAGGTCGGAAGTAAGAAAGATGGGAGCGGCCATGTCCCACCCAATCCTGCGAAGGGAGAGAAGCATGGCAGAAATCGGCCCAAAGCATTGCCTCCAAGTCCCCTGGACTCCGAGCTTATGCCGGATTGTGCTTCAAGCCCTCATCAGTCCTACCATCCCAGAGCCAACATGCACACCTGGCGACAAGGGGGCATGTGGCATCAAAAGTGGGAGCATCCAGCCTATCCTTCTGCGTGCACGTGTAAACGGGAAGGGGGGCTAGGCCACGTCTAGCGCCTACCAACTCCCCCGCAAAACAACGGAGTTTCATGAGAATGGAGTCGATGAGGCCACCCACACCAGCCCCATGGCTAGCCGACGGCAAAACCCCCGCGCGCCACAAAACCCGGACCTTCAGACCCCCAGCCCTCCTGAGGGCGCGAAGCCGGCCCCGCCTCCCAAGCACCGCCCCCAACCTATTCCTCTCAAAGGCTGTGGGCGGTGCCTCCAACAAAGGTGTCGTGGCCAAGATTCCTCGCCGTCCGAAACGCCTGGAGCTTCAGCCTGGCTTCTCTCGACTTCACAGCACGAGCTGCTTCCGTCGAGGACGCAAGATAACCAGACCTGGAGGCTTGCAACAAGAACCCTAGCTGGCGGGTATAGCTGGCGAAAGCCGTGACAACATGAAAGACAACCCCAGCATACTCAGCCAGGCTTCCTGCCCACTGAAACGACACATCATCCATGAGACCTCGGGGCGCCACACTTCCGAACTCCCTCTTGAGCCTCCGGAGAGGCCGAAGGAGGAGGACCTGCATGAGGGTGGTGGCGTGGGAGCGGCCCGCCAAAATTCTCTGGAAAGACGTGTAGGACCGACTCAGGGAATTGAAACTTTGATGCGCCGAGGCTGCCGATAACTACACACCAGCATCACGCTAAACGCACAGAAAAAACAACAGGAAGACCAAGACAAGAAGGAGGAGGAGGAAGAGGAGGAGGAGGAGGAGAAGGAGGAGGAAGAGGAGGAGGAGGAGAAGGAGGAGGAGGAGGAATAGAAGGAGGAGGAGAAGCAGGAGAGGGAGGAAGAGCAGGAGAAGGACATGCAGGAGGAGGGGGAGGAGGATGAGCAGGAGAAAGACAGGCAGGAGGATGAGCAGGAGGAGGGAGGAGGGGACGAGGAGGGGGAGGTGGGGAAGGAGGGGGAGAAGGGGGGGGGAGGAAGAGTGGGGAAGGGGAAGGAAGGGGGGGAGGGAGGAGGGTGGGGGGAGAAGGGGAAGGTGGGGGGAGGAGGTGGGGGGAGAAGGGGAGAAGGGGAAGGAGGGGGAAAAGGGGGGGAGGAGGAGTGACAGTGGCACCACCAGCTGGGGCCGTGCGAGAGCGGGCGACATGCTGAAACACACACACACACAGACACACGCACAGCGACACAGAGACACAAAGACACAGAGACACACAGACGCACAAACACACGAAGACACATACACGCAAACACACACACAACCAAAACACACACACATACACAAGCACACGCACACACACACGCACGCACACACACAGACACACACAGACGCACAAAGACACACACAGACACACGCAGACACACTCACAGACACACACACACAGACACACACAGACACACACACACACAGACACACACACAGACACACACAGACACACACACAGACTTACACAGACGTACACAGACTTACACAGACACACAGACACACAGACACACACAGACACGCACACACACAGACACACACACAGACACACGCACGAACGTACACACGCACGCACGCACGCACGCACGCACGCACGCACGCACGCACACACGCGCACGCACGCACGCACGCACACACGCGCACGAACGCACGCACGCACACACGCACGCACCCGCACGCACACGCACGCAAACACACACAGACACACGCGCACACATACATGCACACACACCACACACACCACACACACACCAACACACCAACACACACACATTCACATCCACACACACACACGACACAACACAACACAACACAACACATCACAGCACATCACAGTGCGGCACAGCACAGCACAACACCACACAACACAACACAACACAACACAGCACAGCACAACACAACACAGCACAACACAACACACACATGCACACACGTGCATACACTTTTGACGCCGGCGGCGCAGAGGAACCTCGGGCGCGGGCAGCAGATGGAAGTGCTAAGTACACACGGACGTAGCCGAAAGAACAGCTGCTCAAAGCGTCGCACGCTGTAACTTTCAGAACGTGGGTGGTAGCGATGAGGCTGTAACCCCAAAAACGCGCAGCGGCCAGAACGCGAGCATGTCCTCCTTGATGTAAGTGGGGGCTGCACGTGGACAAATAGGAACACATAGAAGCGCGCATTCAAACATACGAACAATAGCATATTCGTTACACAACATGTACATGTTGCACATGTTTGTGCAGTCTGGGCGCCCTCCTGGGCATATCTTGGACGCCCGCTGGGCACCTCTCTGCACCCAGGGAGGCGACGTGTGGAACCCCTCCGCGGCGGGAGCACACTCTCCCCCCGACAGCCAGCCGCGACAGATTCGTGGACATCGGCCGCCATCGTTCGCGGCGGAGGGCCTTACCAACATGCATTGCCGTCCTCGCCCTCGTCCCCATCACATCGTCATCAGCAGCAACACTATCACCACGGCCATCACAATTAACACCCTTGCAACCATCACAATCATCGTCACCGCCATCAATGACCATTACCGCCATCTCCATGACCACCACCACGGAAGAGCTGGTAACGGTAGCAGAACGGAGGGGATGCGGATGTGGCCGTGATGAAAGTGTGGGTGACGATGGCGACATTGTGAGTGATGAAGTCGGTGGCGGAACCGATGACGACGATGACTCAGCGATGGATACGACGAGGGCGATGGTGGTGGTCGTGATGGTGGCAATGATAGTGGCGACTGCGATGGCGGCAATGGCCGTGATATATCGCGCCAAAAAAGACGGGACCGTCTGGGCCGCTCTGGTCTCTGAGCTGATTAGCTCGAGCGCCAACTTGCGTTTCAGCAAGAACAGGCGCACATCAGCTGAGCAAAAGTGAAACACAATCACGACGCACCTTTCCTCCACCCGCGTCCACGCCAACACCCCACAACGACCCCGCTCGTCCCCCGCTTTCTTTATTTTCTAGCCGCAAATCGGCAACACAATCTGGGCCCTGCACTGGCCTGGCTGGTTTACAGCCGCTGACAGCTCTGGCTCTCTGCAAAGCGGACAAACCTCGCGCTCTCGAAATCCTAAGCGACCTTGACCCAGTTTGGCTTTCGGGCTTTCTCGACGGGCCGCTGTGGCTCTTGGGCTGGCTCGGGCCAAACTGGGGGGTTTCTGGGCCGTCTTGGTCTTCAGAAGCTCGGGAACGCAAGAACGCGAAACATTGCTTTCACTTGAACTCGTACGCACTTGTTGAACAGCTGTAACCTTTGTTCGGTGGAGACCCTCTTGGGGGGCCCTCATGGAGCCGATGGGGCGTAATGGGCTGTCCTTGGGGGGTCTGGGGCGATGTTGTGCCGTCTTGGGCAAATCGTGGCGGTAGTGGGTGCCTCTTGGCGTCGGGGCCGAAACGAAACCCACATGCCGGACACGAGCCCCGAACCCATGGCCAAATCCGCTCTCCGAGGCCTGGCGGGGGTGGGGAGGGGGAGCTCGGAGAAGCGGGCGGCCCCAGCAACATCTGGGGGCATCGCGCTGGGATTTGGTGGGCCCTCTCGTGCCGTCGTGGCGTGCCGTGGCGCTCCCTGCGGCATGCTTAGGGGATGTCTTGGCCACCTCCAGCTGTCGTTAGCCCGTCATGAGGAGGAGGAGGAGGAGGAGGAGGAGGAGGAGGAGGAGGAGGAGGATGGAGCCTCCTGAGCGTCCCGGCCGCGTCTCTCGGGGCTGTCCTTTGGGGGGGTCCGACGGGCTTCTCGAAGCCGTGTTGGCGACGTCTTGGGCGTCCCCTGGGCCGTCGTGGCCTCATCTTCGGCCATCTGGGGCCCCTCTGGGTCGTCCTGGGGGCCTCTCCGGGGATCATGGTGAAGCATGTCTGGGGCCCTCCTGGGCCCTCCTCGGCTGCAGATAGAGCGTTATGGACGCCCTCTGGGTAACCTTTGGGTATGATCATGGGCCGTCCCGGGCGCTCCGAAGACGAAGAAAACGAAGACGCTGAAACCAATGACAGAAACATGATCACCCACCTTACCCGGAAAAGGGTATAGAAATGTGAAGCATGGAAATCTGTCGAGGCACCGAACACTTGCAATTCTCAAAATAACGCTGGTGATGTGCCGTGTAAGGGACTGTGTTGTGCTGTGCTGTGATGCACTGAAATCTGCCATGCCGCGTTGAACTGTGCTGTGCCCTATTGCGTTGTGGATCAAGTCTTTCTTGGCATCATAGTCCTGACCGAACTGATCTGGATCTTAAGTTCGAACAGCCTGCACGCATATCTCGAGTTGGTCGCAATCGAACCGCAGGGGCGCTCGACCAGCTCGAACTCGAGATCTGATTCAGTTCCGTAACGGCACGAACCAAGAAGGGGCGACTCTGAACCGACGCGAAAGGCACCTGGAGTGGAAGGACCGAGCTCGGCGAACCAAAACGCCACGAACTGTAGCAAGACGAACCAAAACGATACGAACCGAGACGAAGGCCGAACCGACCCGAATCGACGCGAGACAAGACAAAGCAAGACGAACACGCTGCGGCTCACCATCCTCAAGCTGCACGGCGTCGCCTGACGAAGGAGGCGCACTCTGAGGTGGCAGGGCCCCTCGCAAATAACCAGGGCCGCGGTTTGGCGTAAATTGTTATTGATACGTGCTGTGCTGCACTGCGCTGCGCCATGCTGTGTTGAACTGTGCTGTTCTCTGTTGCGTTGTGGATAAAACCATCCTTGGCACCCCAATCCTGTCCGAACTCATCTGGGCCTTAAGCTCAAGTTGCCTACGCGCATGGTTCGCCCAAAGCTGGCTGCAGTCTTAACATGCGGGGCGTTCAACCAGCTCGACCTCAAGATCGGTTTCAGTTCCGAAGTGGGGCGAATCGATCAGGGGGCGAATCCAAACCGAAACGAAACGCACCCAGACGACGACAAGGCCCCCGCACGACACCTCAACACATCCTGCAGAGGCATGCTTTCGCTGCAGGCGAGGCCCTCGCTCGAGACCTCTTCAACACATCCTGCAGAAAGAGCGTTTCGTTCTAGACATGCCCTGACAAATTCTCATGTTGGTGATTCGCCTGGGCGACCTGGACACGTGAAAATCCACATTTCGCTCGAGACATCCTCAACACATCCTCATGTTAGAGATCCGCATGGGCCACCTGGAATACGCGTGCAAACACGTGGGCCCCTTTCGCGCCAGAGCGGAACAACCGTGAACAGACATGGGTCTCTTTCGAGAACGAGCGGGACACACGTGAACACACGTGGGGCCCCTGCGCCCCTGAGCGGAACAAGCGTGACACCACGTGGGTCCCTCTCGCGCCAGAGCGGACCACACGCGCGAACGCACGCGGGGGTCCTTGTCGCCCCAGAGGGGAACGGGCATGAGAGCACGCGGGCCCCTTCGCGCCAGAGTGGGGCACACGTCGCTTGTACAGATTTTCCAATTTTAACGGATGATCCCCGAAGGGAATCCCCAGACCCAGACATCCGAGATCTCGATTTTTTCGAGACGCGGGCCCCCGACCTCCCGACCACTTCCCTGGGACCGGCTTTTCATCCCGCGTCGTTGTTTGACGGTCCCGAGGCCCGGCGAGGGCCCCGAGAGGCCAAAAACCATGAAAAACCTCCGCCTCGATTTTTTCGAGACGCCCGATGTCTGGGGAGTGGGGCACACGTGAACACACGTGGGCCCCTTTTGCGCCGCAGCGCGGAACGGGCGCGAACACACGTGGGCCCCCTCCGCAGCAGGAGGCCCCCCCCCCAGGAGGCCGCGGGAGGCAGGCCCCCCCCGGGGCCCCACGTCGGCGCGCGTCGTGGTCTTCCTCCCTCCTCCTCCCTCCTCCTCCCTCCTCCTCCCTCCTCCTCCCTCCTCCTCCTCCTCCTCCTCCTCCTCCTCCTCCCTCTCCTCCCTCCTCCTCCTCCTCTCCTCCCTCCTCTCCCTCCTCCTCCTCCGCACATCTGGCGTCGAGGCGTTGCTGTCCTCTGGCTCTCGTGGCCCCCCCGCTCTCGGGGGCCAGGCGACCGCGCGTTCGACATCCCCCCCCCCGTTGGGTGGCCCCGCCGCGTGGGAGCGCGAGGGCCCCTCTTTCGCGCCGGAGCGGGACAAGCGCGTGAGACCACGTGGGTCCCGATCGCTCCAGGGCGGAAGAAGCGCGACAGCACGCTGGCCCGTGTCGCGCCCGAGCGGAGCAAGCGCGAAAGCACGCGGGTCCCTTCTGAGCCAGGGCGGAGCAAGCGATGAACGCACGGGGGTCCCTTTCGCCCCAGAGCAGAAGAAGCGTGAACACGCGTGGGCTCCTCTCGCCACAACGGAAAAGGCGGGAAAACCTCTTTCGCGCCAGGGCGGAACAAGCGTGAAAACACGTGGGTTCCTTGCGCCCCAGGGTGGAACAGACGTGAAAACACATGGGTCCCTTCGCGCCAGAGCGGAACAAGCGTGAACACACGTGGATCTCTTTCGCCGCATGGCGGAACAAACGCGAAAACACGTGGGTCCCTTTCGCAGCAGGAGGCTTCCCCAGGAGGCCGCAGGAAGCCCCCCCAGGGCCCCAGGACGGAACATGTCGAGTCATTATACAACTCTTGGGGGCCAGACGACCACGTGTTAGATATCCCCCCTCTGGGTGGCCCAAGACGGCCTGAAAACGGCCTTGAGAGACCCCGAAGACGGCCCACTCGGGACCCCGCATTAGTACAGTGACGGTCAGATAATCTCTGTCTCTCTCTCTCTCTCTCTCTATATATATATATATACAGCTGTGTATATACATATATACATTTATGCTAGAACCATCCCGCGCGCTTCACGCGCCCTCAAGTTCTACTTGCCACGGGGCCAAGCGTATAGCGCGTCAGAGGGGCCGTGTCTGGACGATCGGGTCCTTTGGTTTGGAATCGCACGCCTTCGTGTCTGTAATCGCCTTGAGGCCTTGTATTCGCGACAGTCCTGGGCTATCCTTGGCAATCTTGCAACTCTTCGGGACCGTTTGAGCCTCCGAGGCCATCTTGAAGCCACGCGCTGGCAACACATCGGAACTCCAGAAAAGAAAGGACAACACGTTGGGACTCCTTCTGCTTTGGACCGATGTGGCCCTCCTGGAAGTCCCGTGTGGGCACTCTGGCGGCCTCTATCGGGGCCTCCCCAGACCCCCGACGTAATGATCTTTTCATTACGTCGACCTCCAGAGGTCCCGACCCTTTCCCCATGACCGGCTTTGCATTCAGAGTCGTTTTTTGACGCTCCCGAGGCCCGGTGAGGGCCCCCGTCATTACTCGAGGGGGTCTGGGTCACTGTGCTGCTGGAAGCTTCCTGGGGCAGCCCGGGGGGCCTCCCGGGGGCCGTCGCGCGGGGCCCCCGGCCCTCGGCACTCCTGCGCGGCCTCGGGAGCCTCCCGGGGGGGAGCTCGTGGGGAAAGCTCCGGGGAGGCCCCCCGGAGCCCCGGGGGAAGCCTTGGGGGGAGCTCCGGGGAGGCCCCCGGGGGGGGAGGCGCCACGGGGGGGGCCCCGGGTGCCCCCGTGCGTGCCGCGGCCCCGGGCCCCCGGTGGTCGGGCCTCTGAGCTGTGGGCGGAAGGCGGTGGCACCGAGACGCAGGGCAGGGGAGGGGGGCGGCAAGGCGAGCAGAGTGGCGGGAGGCGGGAGCAGGCGGAGGCGAGGCATGGAGGAGGGCGTGGGGAAGGGAAGAGGGACGGTGGAGGGACGAGGCGGACGTAAAGGGGAGATGGAGGAGGAGGAGGAGGAGGAGGAGGAGGAGGAGGAGGAGGAGGAGGGGGAGGGAGGAGGAGGGAGCTAGGAGCTAGGAGCTAGGAGCTAGGAGGAGGAGGGAGGAGAGGAGGAGGAGGAGGAGGAGGAGGAGGAGGAGAGGAGGGAGGAGGAGGAGGAGGAGGGGAGGAGGAGTTAGAGGGAGGACAGGGGGATGCAACATGGAAAGGAGAGGGACGGGGAGAGGCAGGGCGGAGGAAGGAGGCCTGGCAGGGGGGGATCACCGAGGCGGGGAGGAGGACGGAGGGGACAGGAGGGCGAATGTACGAGGCAGAGGGCTGGAGGGCAGGAGGAGAGGGAGCGGAGGAAGCTACACACGGGGAGCGAGAAATAGGGCCGGACGATGGAAAAGGCGGATGCAAGGCAGACATGCAGGAGGGGGGGCGCACGAGAGAGAGAGAGAGAGAGGGTGCGAGGCGAGAGAGACAAGAGTGTGCAGGAGTGGAGAGCGTAGCCTGAGGATGAGAGGGGACGTGGGGATGGTGAGGAGTGGGAGGGGAGGAGGAGAAAGAGGATGAGGAGGAGGAGGAGTGATGGGGGAGCGTGCAAGGAGTCTGCCGACCCTTCGGCATGTGTGAGACGCTGTCGTCGTCGTCGTCGTCGTCGTCGTCGTCGTCGTCGTCGTCGTCGTCGTCGTCGTCGTCATCTTTGCCTTCGTCGTCGTCGCCGTCGTCGTCGCCAGTCCCAAGGAAATTGAGACACGAACAGAAAAACAAAAAAAAAAAAACGTTGTAGTTAAGTCGATTCCCTCCCCGGGGGGGGGGGGGGGGGGGCAAGGGGGGTGCGGGGGGGGGAGGCTCCCGGGCCAGTTTACCGCCCCCCCACCCCGGGGGCCCCGGCGGGCCCCCCTCCCTTCCCCGTCCCCCCTGCGGACAGGGGGGGCGCACAAGGGTTCCCGCCCCCTGTGGGGCAGGGTGGCCCCTGATGGGGGGGCCTCGGGGGAAGTCCCGCCCGTGGTGGGGGAGGGCAATCCCCGTTTAGGAGATCGCCCCCCCAGGACCTGGGCGGGTCCCGGGGGGGTGCGCCAGCGGGGGTCCCCGGGGAGGTTCCGCCTTCGGGGTCGGCGGCGCAGGCTGCAAGGCCTTCCCAGTCAGCTTGCGTGTTCATCCCCGTGGCGCGAAGAGAGCAGGAGGGAGGGGAAGGTGGGCACACTGCAGCATCACCAAAACCTTCCCAGCACCTTTCTGGACAATCTGGTGCACCCCTTCCTGGCACCGATGCCTCCAGCTCAGCCGCCGACCCCTTGTGTTCCAGCGTGTGATATGTATTGTTTTCCCTTCCCATGATCCTCCCTCGCGAGTCTTGTCTGGCCAGCTTTGGGGGAGGGGGTCGGGCTAAGACTGTCATCATGTTCATATCCCATGGAATTGCTCCCAGGCGCACCAGCATGGCATCAAATGACTCCAAGATCGTCCACGAGGGATCCGAGATGGCCCCAGGATGGCCCAAGACAGCTTGAAGACTGAAGATGCTCCAAGAGGACCTGAAGATGTCTTCAGAAGGTTCCTAGAACCCTAGAGCTTCCGAGAGGTAAACCCGTAGATGTTCGTTGGCTTTTCGTGTTTCTGTTCGCATGTTCGCCTTCCCGAGCTTCCAACACCCCCAGGGAGCCTAAGTGGACCCCAAAAAGTGCTCCACGACGGGCCACGCAAGGCTCAAAACGCCCAAAGGGGGGCCCCAGAGGACTCAAAACTCCCCAAGATGGGCCATAGGGGGCCCGAAGGCACCCCAAGAAGCCCCCAGGACGGCCCAGAAAGGCCCAAGAGGACCCTAAAGGGCCCGAAGACTGCGCAAGAGGGAGGCTCCAGGAACCCCCACGACCGGTTCAAGAGGACCCGAAGACGGCCCCACGAGGGTCCCTGAGACGGTTAGCCTCCTCCCTAAAGGGTCGGCGGTGCTGCGTAAGCGATTGAACCTCGGCCTATACAAATTCCAAAACATCGCCACGTGAATCGCCACGGAATCAAGTCGGTTGAAGTCAAAGCGCAATCCTGGGCCGACCATGGTCGCGGGCCTGCCACGAAGAGCTTCTCATGGTCAGCCCGCGAAGTGGCCGAATAAATTGTTCAGCTACGCATCTCACTCGACGTCTCAACAACCTCGGTGTCGTCGGCTTCAATGGCCTGTGAAAATGAATGCTGTCGGATCTCTAAACCTGATTGAACTCTGTCTTCCTCTGGCAGTGGTGGTGCTGCACCTCGGAGCACTAAGTCAACGGCAGTGTTCAGAAAGGAAAATCCAGAGAAACAGACGCTGAGCAATCCATTTTGACTTAGACGACCGGTGTAAACAGCAGCCACAGTCGTGGCAGCAATCTGGGGAAGATCGGCCAGAACTTTTGCTGCAAACGCGGCCCTGCGAATCCAGGAGATGTCGAGAAAAGACATCGGGGCAGAAAAGCACTGCATGCCGAAAGCCCTGCACGTCAGCACCTCCAGCGAACCAGGAGCTGTGCACGCAGACAGGGTGACCACCGGCGTGGCGACTGAACTGTTCGTCCTCATCCATGCTCTGGGCCCAGCCCCGCTTTTCAGCCATCGGCCCACGAATGCGCATGTGAGCGTCATGGCCAAAGGAATCTTGAATACCAATGCAGCAGTGCAAACAGTAGTTGTGCTTTTCATGATCGGAACCAAGACTGTCCAGTGTTGCGCATTATCCCACGCATAGAGGATTTGAGAAACAAGCGTGAGTATTGGAGTTAGAAGGTTAAGCAAACGCAGATGGTTCTTCTTGGGTTCATCTTGGGCCAGGTTGCGATTTGAAAACTTGTCCAACAGAAAAAGCAACAATCCAATCAAACAGGTGCATCCTACGCTTAATATACCCATGAACACAAGTGGAAAGGGCTTCAAGTAGGCAAGCGAACAATCCCTACCTCCCCACGGGAAGAAGCAGTCGCATCTGCTGCCATGGCATGCGCCTCGGCCATGGCAGCCAGAGAGATTGCTTGAGCACTGACATGAAGTAGACAAGCTTGGCAGACTGTTTATTGCGTTAGGCATGTCCATACATTCGCCTATGCTCAGATCCCATCCGCAATGTGGGCCATACGATACTGGCGTCATGCAATCCTCGCACGTGTTTCGCAGCGCGCACCGAAGTCTTACAGTGTTGTGTCCGCGCAATGCTACGGATACTAGCTTCACTCCACGGTGCCTAGGGTCTTGGACGTCATTTTCCCTACTGTCGAAAAATATCTGATTTCCGCAGGCTAACTGTGGATAGAGCTCTCTGATGCCATTCTTCTGGTCTTCTTGGACTTCCTTGCCTGTCGCAACGTTATCTACAAATGTGCAATCTTGTAGACTCAACGCTGCTCGGTATTGCAAAGGTTGACTATCACTCGCCGATGAAGCCAACCGTATCGCACTACCAGCTTCAGCAGGACCAAGAGCGCTGTTTCCCTGGAACAGTGTTCTCCTGAGGGTCACATTGATAGCCTGCAGATATATGGCTGCGCCACCACCGCCTCCCATAGTGGTTTGGCCGCATTCCCGAACATTTGCACTGTTGTTTACAAATGTGCATTCGTCGAAGAGCACCCTGGGGGCAACTTCGGCAACATACCGAGTGTAATTCATTAATTGTTGTGATGCAATTGCCTGCGCCAACACTGCTCCCCCAAGACCGGCAGTACACGCTGGGAGGGCGTGATTCTGCTTGAAAGTGCATTGTGTGAAGACGCCCGGAACATCCTGCAGGAACACAGCAGCTCCCTGGCCTCCCATCGTTTTTGAATTTTCGGCGTAATTCCCTTCAAACGTGACGTTCCAAGCGTTAATGTGCGAGAACTCCATTGCCGGACCATTCCTGACACTTTGCATTGATATTGCACCGCCCTGGCCAGAGTTACCATTCAGGGACCAGCTGCCAGCAAAATTAGATGAGAATCTGGAACTTCGAATTGTGACGTTGGCACCAATTGCTCCAAGTGCGCCACCCAACGTTTGAGACTGGACATCGAACTCTGGTATGATGACGCTGTTATTATGGAACATGCACCCGTCGAACAACGCACTCCCCACAATTCCGCCTAAACAAACAGCCCCACCCAAACCACCCTCAATTCCGACCCCGTGATGCACAATGTTGCTCGTGAAACTTGTCTGCAGGAATTCTACAGTTGCTAAACGAACGCCCACTGCTCCGCCTTCTCCTCCCCTGTATTTCATTTGTCCTTCTGGAAATACTGCGCCGTTGCCTTCAAATGAGCATTGGGAAAAGTACGATGTGCCTTGCAGCACAGCGACGGCACCTCCCCTAGGCGCGTCGCCAATGGCGCTGTTACCGAAGAAATGGCAGTCGTAGAAAGTTGCGTTGCCTGCAGACCTGAAGTAGATAGCGCCACCATTGCCACCATCATGACCACTAATGGTATCCTCCAGAGTCGCAGCGACGTTCCGCTCAAAAGACACACTTGTGCAAGTGATGCTGGCCCCCGACAAGATCTGAATCGCGCCTCCTGCTCGGACTGTATACTTCCCTGGCTTATCATTGTACTCGGCAAAGCCATGTCTTAGTGTAAGGTTGTGGAGCTCCAGCTTTGCACCATTGTCCACCCTGAAAAACGAGTGCGAGCCCGCGCCGTCCAGGATCGATTGACCCACCCCGTCGCCAACAACTATCACATGCATGTTCATACCCGAAATGTTCAGTTGAGTATTGCCGTAGCCGCTGAACACACCAGGCCCCAAGACGACACGCCGGGTGACGCACGACATGGGAAGCTCCTCCAAGCCTGAGCCAATCGTGTCGTGGCCAGTCTGAGGATCAAACAGCTCTAGCTCTTCGGGGCGATCGTCCACGCGCTGAATGGTGCGACTGACATCACCACAGCTAGGAGATACTCGAACAGTGCATCTATCCACAAGCACTGCTCCACATGTGAACACACACAGAAACGCAAGCCAAATGCACATTGCTGGGAAACATGCAGTACTGGCTGGAGCCGGAAACGGACCTTGAGCCCAAATGACTATGGTCTCGTGAGGACCGGTTTGGGGGGCCCCCACGCCTTCGGGGAAACCCTTGGGCTAACCTGGAAGGCCGGGCAACTCCTTGGTGTGCCCGGGCCCCAAACCTTCTCCCGGGGCCCCTTTCGGCGTCTGGAGCTGCCCCGGAGGCCGCCGGGGAAGTCTCGGTGCGCCTTGGGCTCCCCATGGGCTCTCTCTCGGGCTTGTCCTGAAGCAGTCGTGGCGCCATCCTGGGGCCTCCCGGGGCCCCCCTGGGACGTCTGGCGCATCTTGAGGCCGGAGGCCCCGTCATGGCGGCCCAGGGCGGCTCCCAGGCGGCCTCCACGAAGCGAGGTCCCCGAGGAGGGGGCACCGATCTACATTGTCCTCCTCCTCCTCCTCCTCCTCCTCCGCCTCCTCCCTCCTTCCCCTCCTCCTCCTCCTCCTCATCCTCATCTTCCCCTCCCCCTCCTCCCCTCCTCCTCCTCCTCCTCCTCCTCCTCCTCCTCCTCCTCCTCCGCCCCCCCCGCGCTGCCCCGTGCTCCCGCCGCGCTTCCAGGGTGCCCCCGTTGCGTGGCGCGCCCGTGCGCTTGCGTGGTCAGGGCGCCCGGCGCCCGGGCGGCGCTCCCGGGCGGCCCCTCGGCTGGCAGCTCGCGCGGGACCTCGGCGGGGCTCCTCCGGCAACCCGCCGCAGAGTCGGTCCGGGAGGCAACGGGTGCTCTGCTGCGCCGGGCTCGTCCGCCTCTCGGTGGGACTCGGCCTTCCGCCGATACCTCCGGGGCGGCTCTTCCGCGGCATGCGTCTGCACTGGCCTGGTCGGAGCAGTTCGAATCACCGGAACGACGATGAAAAGCGGGTCTTGCGCGAGGTGACAGAGCGACCTCACGCGCTGGCTTGCGCGGGCCGCCAGCGCGGCACGCTGCGCTGGAAGCGAGAGCGCTCACGCGGGACCTTCCGCGAGCAGCTTACGCGCCAACGACGGTGAGTACGACCTCCTTTTTCTGGCGTCGCTCACCTGGCGATCGTCTCTGGATGGGCTGTTGGGGATGCGGGAATCGTAACGGATTTCCCCATCTATGAAGTATATGAAAGATGTCGCCACGCCGTCTGTTTTCAACGCGCCCAACTAGATGAAACCGACACCGCGGCAGACCCGCGGCAAACCCTGCGTCCCGCGTCCGAACAGACGAGGCCGTCAAAGCGGCAACCCCCACGGCGAACCCACCGCGCCCGAGGTGGCGTTTGCCCTGGTGGACGCGGCGCCCTCCCCAAGACGCAAGGCCGCACGTCGGAACAAACGGCGCGGCGACATCTGGCGTTATTGATATACTCACCTCCTCACTCCCGCCTCCCTCCCTCGCGCGCACGCGTCCACTTCCCAAGCTCAGTCATACTCGGACTCGCTCACACTCCGACCCGCTCACACTGAGATGAACGTAGACACTCGCACTCAGACTCGCTCGTACACAAACGCAGCCACACCCAGACTCACCCTCAATCAAACGTAGCCATACTATACTCCGTTCTCACGCAGAGTCAGTCATGCCCAAACCTACTCATAATCAGACCACCTCGTGCTCTTTCAGCTCACGGTCGACCGCTCCGGCCTCCAAGAGGGGGAGCCGCCAGGGGGAGTACCACGGACCCGCCCGCGCCCCACCGGGCAGGACCCCCTCCAGCAGAACGCTCGTTCTGCAAAGGCCGACGCGCTCCTGCGCTGAGGCCCACGGCCGCCGCGATCCGGCGAGCGTCGCGCTCGTAAGAACCCAGCTTCTCTCTCGATGCGGCGCCGCCGACGCCGCGCTCCTGCGCTGAGGCCCGTGGCCACCGCGACCTGGCGATCATCGCACTCGTAAGAACCTCGCTTCTCTCTCGATGCGGCGCCCTCCTGTGCCGAGGCCCATGGCCACCGCGATCTGGCGAGCGTCGCGCTCGTGAGAACCCAGCTTCTCTCTCCGATGCGGCGCCGCCGACGCCAGATCTGGCCGCTCGCCCGCCCGCCGCCGCAGCAGCCCCTGCTCTCCGCCGCCGCCCCGCCTCGCACGCCCCGTGGCTGCCTCGGGGGGCGCCAGGACCCGCGCCGCCCGCGCCCCGCACGCCCTGGCACGCCCGGGAGCGCCCCGAGAAGTGGAGTGCGCAGGTGAGGGGGCCCCAGGACACACAAGTGAGTGCACGCACAAATAAAACATCTTCCCCACATTTTCCCCATATTTTCTGGGCTTCTGTCTTCCCCCCCACGTCCCATATTTCCCCACATTTTCGGGGGAATCGAAGATTCATTGTGTCTGTGTGTTTCTTCTCCTCCTGAGTAGAGCGCGCCTGGAGCCGAAGACGAGCCCCGGCTCCGCTACCACTGAGAACCGAACTTCTCCCTCAGAACCCTGGCCCATGTGGGCACGGTGGCGATACGGCAGCAGGTCTTCCAACAAACCACACAAACAAAAGTGCCTTGGGCTAGTACGTACAGGTGCGGAGCAATGCACATTCCTGAAAACGCTGCACAAGCACATATGCAACTTCTAAGCTCACATATTTGCACCGCAAATCGTCACTCAGAGCTCCGAAAAAAAGGGAGCCGCCATGGGAATATCACGGGCCCGTTCGTGCCCATATTGCCGGGACCTCTCAAGTAGAACGTTTGTTTGGCGGGATTCGACGTGTCCCTTTGGGTCAATAATCGGCCTCCAGAGCCCTCTCTCGCAACGGTTGGGCTGCTCACGCCGTCCTTCTCCATTCTGCCCTGTCAGCCGCGAAGATCGGATCGCGAGTACTCGCTCCGACTTAAGAAGTTGTTCCGTCGATTCCCGCCGGCTTACAATATTGTGTTACATTTTCTCCTGTTCGGATCCGTTCAGAGGAAGGAAGACATGCTCACTGGCCAGGGGGGAACCAAAACCGACCCATCTCTGAGATTAAACACATATCCCCAAAAAACCCTGGCTTTGGCAGCCCCGGAATCTGCCGACCCTGTCGGCGCGGGGCAAACGCTCTTGAATCCCTCGTCGTCGTCGTCGTCGTCGCAGTGGCCGCTCCCCACCGTCGCCGCCGGCGCTACTCCCTCCTTTCTCTGGGCCCTCCTTCAAGCACGCCAGCCAGAGCGAACTTGAATACAGTCGTCGTTGGATCGAAAGGAAAGCCCTTTCCCTCTGATCCCTTCCCCGCCAGGGGGGGGGTCCCGGGGGGGAGTCCAGGGGGGTTCCAGGGGAGGCGGGGGGGGGTCCCCGGTCAGAATGTCATTCCCTCCCGGGGGGCCCTGGGCCCAAAACGCCTCAAGACATGACGGGCCACGAGTGCCCCTAGAGGCCTCCAGGACGGTCTAAGATGAAGGGGCCCTGAGACACACAAATAAATACACACAACAACAGGATCCCCCATATGTCCTCACATGTTCGGGGCTTTTGTCTTCCCCCCCACTCCCCATATTTTTCTATATTTTCCTGGGAATCGACGATTCATTGTGTCTGTGTGTTTTTTCCCCTCCTGATAAGAGGGCTGCGAGTCGCCGAGCCCTCGGGCCCGGACGCCGCAGGCGGCCCCAAGATGGTCCAAGACGCCTCCCGGGCGCTACGCGAGGCCTCCAGACACAGTCCGAACAGGGCCCCAAGCAGCAAACATTGCAGTGGCACTCGGCCAGTGCCGCCGATTCTGGGCGCTCCGGATGATGATGATGATGCTGCTGCTGATGATGATGATGATGATGCTGCTGATGCTGATGCTGAAGCTGATGATGATGATGATGATGATGGTGATGATGATGATGATGACGATGATGATGCTGCTGCTGCTGGTGCTGAAGCTGATGCTGATGCTGATTTTTCCTCGACGTCAGGACCAACATCTGATGGAAAGATGTGACGTACAATAAACCCAAACTTAATGATCCGTCGCAGAGAGCCAACTGTCTCGCACTGCCCCGCGTGGGCCAAGCTGCCAGGGTGCTGCGCAGAGGGGCCTCCTGCGCAGCGCGTGCCAAGCAACGTCTCGGGTGCTAGCTGAAAAGGTATTCGGCCGCTTCATCCTCGGCGATTGTATCGAACTCAGGTGGGGCCTCCACCTCGCATAGCTCCTCTGTATGTGCAGGCACGGCAGTGGGGAGAGGTGGAGGCACGTCGGAGGCGGGAGGGTACGTGACCGTGACCGTGCTACTGCTAACAGGGAGGGCTTCGCCTCGGACAAAAATGACACGGCGCTGGATAGTGTCCTCTCCGTTTGTGCTTGCATTGTGCCGTGCAGGCTCGTTCTGGCAAAAAAGCGGCGGGTTCACTGCTCGGGCGTCTTCGTCCAGTGGCCGACCTCCTCCTCGAGCCAGCCCGCGTGGCCCTCGGCCACGCCTCTGTGGTGGACCGCCTGGCCCTCGGCCGCGAGAGCGCGGTTGATCAGGTCTCGGCCCTCCCACATGGGCGCGCCGATCACCAGCTTCGTCTTGGTGTCGTCGTGGCACTTCTCCAGTCGCACAAAAGAGATGACGTCGAGGAGATCTTCCTTGCTGATCTCCGCCTCCGCCTCGGTATCCTCGGGGTCCGCTCGGAGCAAGTAGTTCCGACTGGCGCTCTTCATAGAGCCGCCCACGTCGCGCGCGTGCAGTCCTTCCATGGCCGCCAGCGCGAGGGAAGGAGCTGGCGACCCTATCTCCTGCAGGCGTTTCTTGCCCTCTAGGGTGCCGCTCTTCTTGAGGGAGTCCAGGGTGTGCTTGTAGCCCTCGGGCTCCTGCGTGATGGCTGTGGTCACTGGGTGCTCGTTGCTCATCGTGTAGGTGTCCGTGCTGATGCTGTACTTCAGCCTGGTCTTGTGCGTCGTCTGGAGCGACAGCTTTTTGTCCTCGCCGATGTCTCCCTCGTCCACCTTGATGGGCGTGGTTTCTGGCGTGGCTGCCCCGCCTTCCTCGGTTGGCGTCCGCGGTGATCGCGATCGCCTCTGCGACGGCGGCGGCGGGCCTGGCGGACGTGAAGCCTTTGTCGCCTTCTGGCCTGTCGCGGCGCTGGAGGCGGTGCCAGAGCCTTTCGAGCCCAGGGAGGAGTCCAGCGGGAGTCGCCA